GAAGGGAAACTGCCCAAGACGTCATGGCCCGCAGAACCTACCCCTGTGCCCTTTCTCCTTGTGCATGTCCTTCAAGCTCTCTCGTCTGACTTGCTCTCTGCCTGTCCCCTTCTTGTGTTTGGTGATGTGCACAGCTGGGACCCTCACGGGCCTCTAGTTCCAGTGGAGCCCCCAGCAATGGGACACAGGAAGGGCTTGTGTTCTCTGTGGATACTCGGATCCAACAGGGGTCCCGAAGGAAAGAACAGCTTCTGATCGTTGCAGACCCCATGGTGTTGGACAGGGGGGCAGGGCTGGGGACGCCCTGTGGCATCCTAGTGCATGGCGTGGGCTTTCCAGTAAGGCAGACCTGGCTTTGACTCCGGGAGCTGCCCTGGACGGTGTGGCTGCCCACACTATGTTCACTTGCCAAGCTTCTGACTTCTCAGCCCTGGAGTGGGCGATGCTATAGCTTCTCAAGTTTACCGGAAGGATTAAAGGAAGTCATGGCTTACAAAAGCACTCATCATGGAGGACGTCGGCAGCATCCAGGAAGTGGTGGCTGCTGTTACTCTTGTTGGGCCAAGGTGACACATTCCAGTTTCCGAGGATTAGAAGTTGTTGTCGAGGGTTGTGTGTCAGAGAGAGAGAAAATGAGGGACCAGTGGCTAGGGGGAGGGGATGTAAGACATAAACATATGCCTTTTCATGTGTATATCTGTACATATATATGTAAGTAGAGCAAGAGGGCGTGTGAACCGACTGCACCTACCTTTGCTTATTCTTCTCATCGATTGTCACCAATTTAGCAAAGGTTTTAGTATCAGAACATTAACCATTTGCCTGCTATGTAACACTCTGCTTCTGAGCACATAAAAGCAGTTGCTAGCCCCTCTTTTATTTTCTCTAGTGCTTATTTTTATGGCTTCTTAGTTTTTACGTTTTTTTAACCTTAATATCCTTAATGCATTGGGAATTAATTCTGTTGTAAGGAGTGAGGTCCAACTCACTTTTTTTCCACTCGTTACAAAAGCATTTGTTGAATAATTTATCATTTCCCCCATTGGTAGGAGGTAGTAACGACATTCACATCAGCCTGTCACTAATTCTCCTTGGTGTTTGAGTCTATTATTTAGATAAACTTCTGTAAAACTTCTGTCACCTGGAAATTCTATAAGCGTTCCTCTCTTTTATTGCTTCGTCACTCATGAGTCACTATTCAATTGTAATGACTTTCTGGTTTTCACTAAGTCACAATCCTAAAAAAATTCAACCTTCTGGACCAAATCCAGAAACAAGTGGGAAAATGTTCCTTTGTACCTGCTCTGTATCCAACCGAATTATCTTTTAGATGTGAAGTTAAAGAAAAATTAACTGCAATGACTTAGACAGTATATCACCTATACCACACAGCTATCTAAAAATTTCTTCTCAAACTGGAAAAAGTGAATCTCAAAGAGGAAAATGCAGGGGTGTACAAAACTATTGTGAACAGTGTAATTGGTGAAAATGATAGACGATTAAAGTCATTTCTAATCACCTGGCCTTGAGGTTGAATGCTAATCTTTAAAACATCAAAACAACAGAATAGGCGCATGTTTTTAAAGTCTGAGAAAATGCAGAACGATTCTTGGTGGTTTTACCAAACATCCTGTGCTGATAACATCTGCTGATCCCTGGTCCAGTCCCCCCTCCCCCCTCTCTGACCATAACCTTGGCCTCGCGCAGCCTTCTCAGCTTGTCTTGCTGTGGTTATTCTATGACCCGGAACCTGCGAACCTACGGGCCCTCCAGTGTATGGCCTGTACTTCTCTCTATCCACCAGCTCTCTTTGTCTTCACTTCCTTCACTATCCAGTTGGATTTTACAATCCGTCGTTTCAATAACTCGCCCGTCACGTAACTCATCTCGCCACACTCTCTTCGTTGGGGCCTGTTTGGCAAACTCCAGACGAGGTTGAACTCATACACCTGCTCCCTTAGCCCTGTCTTGGGGGCGTTTGAATATTGCCAAGGAAAATGACACAGCCGGACAGATGAGAACCACAATAAATGTGTGGCCACCAGTGTCAACTAGGTGGTCATTTCTGCCCCGTGGGCCTACTCGGCTTCTTTGATTAATGCGTGTTTTCTCTGCAGAAACCTTTTCAGACCTCATCTCCGCTCCGCAAACCTGTGGCCTCTCTTCACTCTTAGCAAGTTACCTTACCTCCAGCCACACAGAGAGAGAGGCAGAGCCATCAGATCGGAACTCCCTCCACTTCCTACTCTCAGGTGTACGTACTTTTCTGCACCCAGACCTGATTTCTCTTCCTTTCTGCTTGTCACAGGAGAAGTGATGTCTTTCTTCCCGCAGAAGGGCCATCTCTCCATCGGCGCCCTGCCTCTTCTCACTTTCCACCTTACCAGGAACTTGACTTATCTTTTTGTTCTCTCGTCTCAGCCACTTCTCTCTCTCCACTGGATCCTGCCCTTGGGATTTCAACCCGCTCCCATCTCTCCCATCTTAAAACAAGCAAACGAATGCTTAACTTCCCCAACCGCCCCTCTGTCCTGGACCCTCTTCATCAAAGTCACACTTCTCAGGGGCATCGTCTGCCCTCGCTGCCTCCATTTACTTCTTATCCACGTTTCCCCAGCCCACCGCAGCATGACTTTTACCCTTAAAAATTTTAAATAACCACCAATTGAATAGACACTTGGAGGCAGAGCTCCCAGTACACTTAAGGAGGAGAAAAAAGGAACACAGAAATCTAATGAACAGGAAAAATAAAGAAAAGAAAAAACACTTAACCACAAAACAAAATGCAGAAGTAAGTCCAAGTATGTCAGGAATTACAATGAACGAAACAGGCTCAGCTCTGTAGGGTGTGATCTTATTTCTCTACCGTTCTAGAAAAGCAAAAGTGTAGTATGAGAGAGGGGAGCATTGATAGCAGTGGGGCTCGGGGAACATTTTGGCAGGATGAAGAGTTTTACATATTTACACTGTGACCGTGTTTCATGGCTTTATGTGTTTCTCAGAACTCATACTGTGTACTGAACGTTGGTGAATCTCACTGCGTGTTATTCATACCCCAGTGCAGCTGGCAAAAACAAAGTTTAATGGGAGCCTCACACTGTACCACTTGGCTTCCACTGAGCTGGTATTTACAAGTAGTAATCATAGAAGCACCACACTTTTGAATGGAACATTTGATCATATTACATTAGGAGGATGAGAAGAGGGGGCACTAAAACATCTTAATTTGCCATAGTAGGAAATTGAGAGAATTTCTAAGACCAATGGACCAAGAATTAGCAAATACTAGAAGAAAAAGCTCAAGGAAAACAGTCGGGGGAGCAGGCTTGAAGTCTGGAAAGGTGGTGCAGGGGCCTGATATTTTTGTCTGTAGCCTATTACAGGCACTTGACATATTTGACCATGTCTGTATCATTTTAATAAAAATAATTTAAAAATCGGGGGCATCGAAGTGTTAGAAATAACTATAGAAAGACCAAAAATGGGCGTTGAAGCCAGCATAGCCGAGGCAGGGAACAGACGCTGTGATTTGATGTCTGGCTTTTCCTTGGTGGTCGTGTCTGAGCTGAATTTGAAAGGATGAGTTGAGTTCACTGAATGACTCTTTCTGGATGTAACTGATTATTAAGGATGTTTCCTCTCTCTTCTAGCTGTTGAATCCAGGTAGTGCTTCCAAAATATTATATTGATTACTTGCATTTTCTAGTTTACATGTGTGCCGCTTGTGGAAGGGTGATACACGGAAGTCCTCCTAAGCATGCCTGGCGGGTCTAGCATTACCTGACTTTGAATGAAGGCTCTGATGGGATGGGCTCATCTTGTTTCTGTTCTTTTGGCTCATCACTCAGTGCTATTCCATGTTTTTCAAATTGAGGCGATACACTGTAATATTTTTCTTGCATAGAGTTAACCTTGCCTTCTGGTCATATACCTAATTTAATCTTGAGCTTTCAAAAAAAAATCAGAAAGTAGTAACAGAAAAATGACTGACTTTGAGTCCTGCTTTGCCTGAAACTGGTCAATGGAATTGCCTTTATGATCTTTCTGATCAAAAACTTTTAGACAAGCTTTGGTCCTGTAGGTCGGATGACAGAAGTCTGATTTAGTTACTCCACCAATAAAAGGTATCTCTTCTTTTGCTAATTTGTTCTACTCAGCTATTTTTACGAAGCTAATGGGGGAAAGGGTGTTATGTTTATGTGTGATTCTGTGTTTTCCCAAAACCAGCTAGAAGTTTTATATGTGTAGGAATGCAGACAATTAGACACGAGCAGGAACAGTTGGGGCTGGTGAAACAGAGTGCGTTAGGTGGCCGGACCTGGGACCCCGGGGGCAGAACTTGCAGGCGAGAAGGATGCAGGGCAATCTTAGGCTGGTGGGACTGAGACAAAGGGAGAGCTAAGATCCGGATCCGCCCTGGGGAGGAAGGCCGCAGCTATTAGGTCACACAGCTCAGCAGGTCTGTCTGCAGCTCTTGCTTGGGCGTGGTGAGCCAAGAGGCAGATTGGACTGGAATTGATTAGAGTATACCCGAAGCGCGGAGCTGGGTGGTCAGCTGGCCGAGTTATATGCCCAGCAAGTGAACGTGTGAACACGACAAGTTTAGAGAAATAGAGCTGTGCTCGTGAGGGTCTTTGGTCTTGGCATTAAAGACATTTTAATGAAGCAGTCCTGGACTGTGATACCATCTGAACTAAATGAACACACCCTTAGAGGAGTGATCAGTTGCCTGGGGCCCCAGTGTATCTAACCACCTGGGTTTTTCCATCCTACACTTGTGTCTAAAGCTCTGCAGAACATTTCATTGTAAACAGTTGTACTCCCCCTGGCAAAAGGAGCTAATGTGCAATCAAAATTACAAGGAGAATGCCCAGACTTTAAAATCGGGCGCCGCAATGTATTTTCCTCGACGATGGATCATCAATGAAAAGCATCTGTGGTGTTTTTGATTGTCCTTTTATAACGGAATGACCAGTGGAATCTTGCAACCTTTTTCTTAGCACACATCTGTGGATGGACACACCGAACCCCACGTGCAGCCTCCCAAATCCAGCAGCAGACAGAACTTCCCCCGGTGCAGAAACTCCATCACGTCCGCAACAGACGAGCAGCCTCACATTGGAAATTACCGTTTACAGAAGACCATAGGGAAGGGGAACTTTGCCAAAGTGAAATTGGCAAGACATGTTCTAACTGGGAGAGAGGTGAGTGTTCAGGAGGCCTTTTAATAGTTGCGTGGATGTTAAGTATTCACCTCTCTAGCGGCTTGTTAGACAGCTTCTCTGGAGCTCGTGCTGGGAGTAAATGGCACATGCAGTGTGGTAGATGCTGGTGTGAGTGAGTGGAACACACTGGGCAGAGAAGTATCATAGTGGAAGAAGCTGGCCTTTAAGGCGTAGAAAAGACACACCCCTGCTCTGCAGGAGCATCTCAAAGATCGAGGAGTCGGGTGCCAACAAGCTTTTCTCAGACTTCTGTCTTTCGCTACAAGGTTTCTGGAAATATTTTGGATTACCTTGGTTACCCAACTGTAGGAGCTGAGCAAGGATACGTTTTTATTAAAAATCAGGTATAAATGTACAGAAAGTAGCCCACTAATTTTTATCTACCTAGAGACCATTGAACAAGTGTGGTTATGTAGATCTTTTATAAGGAAATTGGGTTTTAAAATCCCGTGTGTTTTAAATTATGTGTGTTTATATAACAAAGATTTATATATTTAATAATATTAATATGAATATATTAAAAATTTTATATGTGAAAGATTAAAACAGTTAAGCATCTAACAGTCTATATTACATAGTGTTGTGAAAAATCTCAGTCACAAAATGTTTTTAGTCCATTTTGCTTTTGTTTCGTGCTTAATATTGCTGTCACTGTTAACTTGAGTTTACTTCTCTGAGTCCATTCTGACCCAGGTGCCATTCCGGCAGAGGCGTGTTGGGCAGAGACTTGGAGGACATGCAGATCCACTTCATTGGTCGGCTATAACTAAGCCTGGGTACCCAGGTTCTCTGCCCACCTAACCATTTTACTCACATAAAACTTAAGTACCTGAAAATTTATAAGCCCCTCCCTTTTGATCATTGGAACTTATCCAGGTCCTTGAGTAAAAGATTTAAGTTACAGATGACTTTTATTTAAGAAGAGGAAACTTGGAAGAAATATGAAAAGTGACATTTCATTGAGTCAGAATCAGACAAGCTAGACTTGGGTCAATGGTATATAGTCTTTCGCTGCCAAATTGTCGAAACATGGCCATCCAGTTGTGTGAGCCCTAAATTATATCTAGTTAGAAATGAAACAAAAGATGTTTTCTTTATAAGATTTTATTCATGAAAATGTATATTCTCAAATATAGTTTAATGATTCTCTTCTTTTAGGTCGCTGTGAAAATAATAGATAAAACTCAGCTAAATCCTACCAGTCTACAAAAGGTATTTAATAATTTTAATAGTAAGTAATTAGAATGTGAGTTTGTTCATTAATATATGAGTTCTGTGAAGTCAGTTATCCTACATTTTTTGACTAGGTGCAAAATTGCATCTCCTCGATATATTAAGGACGGACATGATATAAAAACATTTATATTTTACATTTAAATCATATTTTTCAAGTGGTTGTTTGAAAAATATCTACTTCTCCAATGCATGTGCTGTAGGAAAGGAATTTATGCGTTTAATTCTGTGGGATAAAACTTGGTGCCCGATATTTTGAGGCATTCAGGATTCTGTTCCCTGAAACATCTATTTATGGGTTAATATTGCCAAGTAGGTGGGGTTCCTTCTGTTGCTTCACTTGCTTTTCTTCCTCCTTTCGTAAGAACTAATGTTTCAGCTGACTTACAGTAAAAGATATGAGCATTGCTTCAAAGGGCAAAAATACAAAAAAAAAAAAAATAGGGGAAAGAATACAAAGCGGTTAGAATGGAGACCATCCTGGCAAAGCTGTTTTATGTTGCTTTTGTGCTTGCTTTTGTGGGGAAATTCTCTCAGATACACATTTTACTGCTTTAAAAATGAAACAGATATTTTAGCATTGGTGCCATGTGCATTAATTTTGTATAGAGTGAGACAATATCCGTTGTGATTTTTATTAGAATATAAAGGGATCATAGTCACATATGTAAATGTCACATAAATAACTTTGGATTTCTAAAACAGAGAGAATCTTACACATAAAGCCAGTCAGCCTCTCTGGCAAAGCCAGTTAAGTTTTCCAGAATATCTGCAAAATCATTTTTGTCGTGAAGACGATTTGGTCCCTCAAGGTGGAGAAAGAGGACAAAACCATGGCAAGCGATGTTAAGAATGAACAATTTAGCAAATGATCAAGACACCAAACTTGTGCGACCAGTCAAAATTATTGGCAAATACTTTGGTGGAGGAGAAAGCAGGAAGGCTCTTTGACGGTACTCCTTAACCATCCCTCTGTTGAACATGTGTCGGAATATCAGTCACTCACACATACCGGCTTTACGGCAGGTTTCGCTTCATGGTGGAACAAACCCGCTGAGATGCCAGGTCCCGTTCTTTTCACGTGTGCAGGTCATTTGGAGGAAGGGCCTCGTGCATTTCTTTTGTGGGTCAAATGAGAACCTAAGTGCTGAGAGCCAGCATTTTGTGAGCTGGGCAGGGTGCACTGGAAGAGTCCTTTAATGAGTAATGATGGAATACCAGCAAGGCCTTTTCTTTCTTCATGAAGGAACCGTAGAGCCTGGTGATGAAACGAGATCCCCCCAGTTGCCCATTTCCATTGCTTCATCCTCCAGGGAATGAGTGGTCAGCTGTGCGCCTCTGGTCTCCATTTGGTTCTGAAGGAAATACTGAAAACAGAGATCATCAGAAAATCATGGCTATTAAAAGATGTGTCTCCTTAGCATCTAGTGGGAAGTGTGTCTTTAACAATGAAATATGATGGATTTGGAAGGAAGAAGGGGTTGAAACAAATGTCTTTTAAAAGGTGACACCAATACTATCATCTAGCTAAAACACCAATGGCTTAAATGTAAGAATACTAGATTTTCTGAAAAGACCAAACTGACCAAAATCTGACTTTTCTAAACCTTTCGTTACTGGAGCCATTTATTTCAGCAGGGAAACCCTTCCTGTCTCCATAACGATGTCAAATCCCCCCCGGTCCTCCTTAAGTGAGGCTCTCCTAACCAAAAACTGATCGTGAAGAATCACTTCAGTTTTTATTTGTTTGGCTTTGTTTCTTGTTTTTGTGACTTGTATTCTGCCGCTCGACTTTTAAAACCTCTGCTGTCATTGCTTGGTTTTTAGTGGTGGTAACACACACAACCATTTCTATATTCTCAAGAAACTATGTGAGATGTACTGGAATAGATATGGAAAATTTTTTTCTTAGAAACAGAGAGAGCTACGAATCTGTAAATCACCTATGAATTTTAGACTAACCATCTGGTTCTTTTAAAAGTCATACTCTCATTTAGTTATCTGAAGAGTCATACTTCTATTTTTTTCCCTAAGTTGGGCAGTCTGTTGACATAGTAAACAAGTCTATTTTTAATTTTTGGACTTCAACGTGTCTTTCCCATTTGAAAAACAAAGTTGCTTTCTCATGGTGTTTTTTTATTGAACTAAATTGTTTCTTTTCTTTTTTTTTGTTTTTTAAGAAATGAAACATTGCAGATACAGTGGAAGCCCTATGTGTCATTTCTTGGTTCTATTTCTGTCTTTTCCTACCTAGAAAAGAACCACTGTTCTGAATTTGGTCTTTCTGAGTCCCATTCAAATTTTTAAAAAATGTTCAAATGTCTATATTCGTACATAAAAATACTATGTATTTATTTTTAAACTCCCTATGCTTTTGCAACTTGCTTTTTTTCCTATAACATTGTCTTTCCATTGTATCCACGTTTGTCTACATAGTTTAGCTCATTTATTTTCACTACTGTTATTGCGTGCCATAGTATGACTATGACACTCTCACTCATTCTCTTAGGAATAGGTATACTAATAGTTTGTCCCTTTTTCTCTTGGTGGATATTTAAGTCGTTCCTGATGGTTTTGTGTTTTACTGTCCTATTTTTCTAGTTAGTTAACTTTTTGTTTTCGTGGTATGTCTGGTGCTGCAATGATCATTCCTGTGTATACCTTCTTGTGAAGATGTGCAGAAGGAAGTATCTCTTCAGGTGGAGTTGCTAGGTGAAAGGGCGTGCCTGTGCTCACCTTCACTAAACACTGTCAAATTGGTGTTCACAGTGGATGAACCCCCATGAACTTTTTGCTAACACAGTATAAGATTGTTGCTCCACTTTCTTGCACTTTGTATTCTCAGATCTCTTAATTTTTGCCAACCTTATGGATGCAAAGCGATATCTTGTTTTCACTTTGTGTAGAAATGGAGTCATACAATATTTGTCTTTATGTGACTAGCTGATTTCACGTAGTGTAATGTTTTCAAGGTTTGTTCATGTTACATGTCAGAATGTTCACCCTTGTCAGGGCTGAACGGCATTTTGTTGCATGTATTTATCCCATTTGTTGGTTCATTCGCCCATCAGTGGACACTTGGGCTTCTTCTATCTTTCAGCTATTGTGGAGCACGCTGCCGTGAACCCGGGTGTGCTGGTATACGTTAGAGTCTCTGCTCCCACGTCTTTGGGATGTATATATTTTCTACACATTCTCGTCAACACATTGCTTTCTGGGTTGTTGGGTTTTTTGTAGTAGCCATTCTAACGAGCCTGAGTTTTCATCTCACTGTGGTTTTGACTTGTATTTCCCTGATGACTAATGACATCAAGCATTTTTTCCATGTTCTTTTTGGCCATTTGTGTATCATCTTGAGAGAAATAATAACTTCTGAAAGCACCAACTTTAGATTTTATTCTGACAAAACACATATGTCCTAATATAGACTTTCTGGAGTATCATTGGTTATTGGTTTTCCTATTTTTCTGTAGAACTAGTTGTTTGATTTTGATTCTGACAAATACTCAGAGGTAACACACACACACACACACACAAAAAGCTAAATCATGCTCTTGAAAAACAGGCCTTACATTGTTTAAAAGTAAAATAAAAGGGAGGGAAATTTTAACATTCACGTTTCAGGTAACTTATTTTCATTTTGTTTTGTTTTTGTATCAAGTGGTAAATATATTTTTATTATTTTTTAATGTTATGCAAGTCTCCCTTAAAATGCTACTGAAAATAGTTTTATTTTCAAATATAATTTAAGTATAGGCTTATATGATTTAATCTTTAATAAACTATCTGATCGACCAGTAGAGATGACTAAAGAGTTAGAACCCCCCCCGCCCCCCCCCGCCCAAGGAAGGTTGTTTAGAGATAAAAATGTAGCAAAGAATCATTTAGCTTCATTCCACAGTATTTTTCTTTTATTCTTGGTAATGAATAGTCAAATAAAAGTTTAAGATTTATTGTGTGTGTTGAGGAGGGGAGAGAGAGATAAAGAAAGAGAACGAACACCGTCTGCATTCATCTAGTTAATATTGTCGTGGGGACCAAGTCTCAGCAAAGGTAGAGGTGGGACTGAGAAACAGGTCTCTTGGTTCTTAGCTCATTACCAGGATCCCGTAGTGTGTTACAAGCAGACGCATGACTTCGAATGGATGTTTCGATTGGTTCTCTGCTGGAGCGTTCTCTTTTAACGGGAATCTGTCCACCTGTTTTTTTCAACAGCTGTTTCGAGAAGTTCGAATAATGAAGATACTGAATCATCCTAACATAGGTATGAAATTTATATATACGTTCATGATGAAGTATTTTCCTTCAAGTGTCTTTGCAAAGATAACAATTTTAAGGGTATTTTATTATAGAAATGGAAGAAAAGTGATAACCTGAAACCTGAGTGATAAACTGAGAAGGTGACACTTGGGTAAAAATAGGTTATACAGACGGTAACTAAAGGCTATGAAGTCCTAGTTCTGCATTGCCCAGCGATCTTCTGCTTTTCACTAAAATAATGGATCTGATGTGGAGTTAATGCATATATATATTTTGTTGTATCTCCTTACTTAATTTCTCTAAAGAGAGATTTGCATGCCATTTAGATATTTATTTATTTATTAAAATATTTTATTTATCTTTAGAGGGGAAGGGAAGGAGAGAGGGAGAGAAATATCAATGTGTGGTTGCCTCTCATGCGTCCCCTGCTGGGAACTGGCCTGAAACCCAGGCATGTGCCCTGACTGGGAATCAAACCACGATTCTCTGGGTCGCAGGCCCGCGCTCAATCCACTGAGCTACACCAGCCAGGGCCCATTTAGATATTTATAAAAAATGAATTCCAGACAGTTTGATAATTACATTGTGGTTTGATCATAATTTATAGGCAAAATAACTCATTTGAATTAAAAATAGAGCTGATTACATTTTTTATTAATTTATTTCCGTAAATTGTGGTTCCCTTATATTTACAAATAAATATATTGATTTCATGTATTATAGGAAGTCATTGGACTGTAAGAAGTAGAAAGCAATTCTTTTTTTTTTTTTAAGATTTTATTTATTTATTTTTTTAGAGGGGAAGGGAAGGAAGGAGGGAGAGAAATATCAATGTGTGGTTGCCTCTTGTGCATCCCCTGCTGGGAACTGGCCTGCAACCCAGGAATGTGCCCTGACTGGGAATCAAACTGTGATCCTTTGGTTCACAGGCCAGCAATCAGTCCACTGAGCTACACCAGCCAGGGCATCAATTCTTCTTTTAATCTGTTTTTAAAACATTTATTTCTTGCACACTTAAAAATCTTATGTTTGTTAGAGATGTTAATATAATTATTTGTAGTATTTAATTTCAACTACGTTAATTTGATAATTTAGTAGTTTTTCACCAGAAACTTTTATAATATCACATGTTGATAGAATTTGTTGTATCTGTACTAAAGATTTTTTAACATTTTTTATATGCTCAGTACAGTATAACATCTTCTAGAGCTTTAGTGAAGTTTTTATTACTATAAAAAGATTTAGTATTCTGATTTTAAGATTTTCCTTTTACTCCATTACTCTGATTAGGAACACTAACGGTTTTTAATGCCAAAAACTTAACTGTCTTCTGACCCAGCAGGTGGTTCCATGTCACTTCATAGTAGGTCGTTTTCTTCCACAGTAGAATGGCCCTTGGGAGACTTTGTGAATTTAAAATGGTAATTCATAATCTTTAATAAAGATTAAATTTATTTTTAAAGATTAAATACTCAAAATTTCCCCTGGGTGAATGTCGCCTTCAGTTTTATTAAAACATGTGCTGTGTGTGCCCACAATGACAGAGTCCTATCTCTCATTTCTCTTCCAGTAAAATTGTTTGAAGTGATTGAGACAGAGAAGACCCTGTACTTAGTCATGGAGTACGCAAGTGGGGGTAAGGATGCGGGCTCGGAGAGGTAGCGTTGGTGAGACCAGAACCACCGCCACCGAGGGCTGATGAGAGCATTCATGTCTCCATTGTAGGGAATGAGTTTGCAGTTTTATTAAAATGCCCTTAAATGATACCTTAAGGAACGTTCTGTGTTCGCTTTCAACACCTCTTGATCCTATATTTAAAAGTTGGATTTTTGGCTTATTTAAAAATTTCTTAGGGGCATTTTTAAAACTCTAAACTTGCATTGTTACCTGTGAATGGTTTGATTCTCCTGTCTAAATAGTATATTATAATAGGTTATATTACTATGATAATTAGAAATGCACTTGGCTATAAGCAGGAAATCTCAAATTCAGAACGTATTTAATAAGCATATGGCAAAAGCATATTCTAGGTCAGATGTTTATTTCGCTGATTGTTTATGTATGACAGATTCTCAATAATATTTATGTTTTCAAGATAATCTATAAAATGTTTTAAACAAATATTGATCTACATATTTCCTAAGTTAAAAGAGTGGGTTGACGGGAAAATAGTAAGATGCACTTATAGTAGAATATAACGTGATTTTGACTACATGGTGTCAAAAACAGGAATGGTTTTCTTTAAAAACACTGATACATACAGAAAACCATTCTCATCTGCCTTTCCCTCAAATGAGAGACACCCTGAGTGAAAATCACAGTTCTGCCGGGCACAGGACTTAAGCTTCTCAGAAACCGGTTTGAAATGTATGGGGTTAAATCATTCAGTAGGTAAAAAAGGAGTTCTTGCGGGTGGTAAGAGTTCAGAAAACGTAAGCAATTGAAGAAGAGAGGGGCAGCTCTGAGTATTTAAACCACTTTGGCTAATTAACTCTTTTGCTAATCAATAGAAAAACCGCATTGGGTCCTTTTAGCTGACAAAGCAAATAGATTTTCCTGGTGACTCAGATTTTATGTAACTAGAATGAAAGGATTTATGCTAGTCTGCAGCATCTAAATTATGTGTTTAGATGCTGTCTCTTAGTCTTCAAAGGAATTTTACTGCAAATATTAAATACATTTTAATTGCATTTTCAGGTTTTTTTAATGCAGATTGAAAGTTTTGGTAGATTTATTTTTTTTTTACAAAGCTTTTTTTCTGTCACGAACATTATCTCAGTGTGGATTTTTTTTTTACTTAACCCGATAACCCATGCTCTTAATGTTTTTTTATTTTAAACAGTTACTCAGCTGTGCAAATTTGTATCAGATGAAGGTCTATAATAAAATGAACAAACCTACAAAAAACACATAGTGAACCATTGCTCTCCTTTTCTAACCTTTAGTTAGCTTTATATAACATCTTGTCAGCATGGGAACCCTGGGTGTTATTTTTAGCTCAGACCTTTTGTTTTTGTTTTTTGGTGGGTTTTTTTTTTTTCATTTTAGTCATCTAAAGTCTAGAAAAAGGGACTGGACAGGCTTTGATAGGAAAAACTGTAGACTGCTAAGAATCTGTGGACACCATTCTGTGTTTATGAAGGTACACCACAAACCGTGTTAATGAGTGTACCGTTCTAGCAATGAATGGTGAGTACAGTCAACTCTCTATTGGTGCTAATGAAGGGGTCGATGGCTGGGGTAGCTGAGCACACAGTGTCCCTCCCCACTGCCCTCCTTCAGAAGCTAGTGGCAGGGGGCCGTGCAGCATAGAGATGGTGTGCTGGGAGTCAGCCCCAACCAGGTGGTCCCTCATTCAGTTCTGATTCCTCGTGACCAGTTTTCTTTGGTCTTGCCACTCAACGATCCTGTAACAAAACCAGCCTGGTTCTGGCAGTAAATCTAAACTCCATTTCTTGATTTTAACCATCTAACAGTGGCGAGGCTACACTGGATAATCATACCACACTGCCTGTTTCTCCTCTGAGATGTCCTAATAGTTTACGGTCGAATCCCACATGCACACAGAAGGCTAGCAGGAACAGGACTGACACCCGACAATGACCTCTTTGCCGGAAATGGACCGGCTGCTTTTGGTTCACCAGCTGGGTACCAGATTTCTCGTGCTGGGGGCGGCAAGGACCTCCTTCATGATTTCAAACCACATTTTGTCCAAAAGAGCCTATTCAACGTAGGCATCAGGGCTACTCTGGAGTGGTGTGTGTATTCCTTCTTCCTTCGCACAAACACTATTAAGTGTTTACTCTGTACTAGGTAATATTCTGGGTGCTGGGAACACAGGGGTGAGCTAGGACTAAGTCCCTGCCCTCAAGAAGATGACACTCTAGCTGGGGAAGCAAGCCATAGACAGTATATAATATGTGAAGGACGGAGTCATGTCAACGTTTGGGGTCGAACTGTCCTGGGCAGAACTTAGGAGAAGCCCAGATTTTTGAACTTGTGTATATATCTTTCCCAGCTGAAACTCACCTATCTAGAATTCCCTATTCTGATGGGTCCATGAGAGCATCCCTTCCTGTCTCTGTTTTCATCATCCCATTCAATCATTTAAGCACTTTGCTGTCTGACATCGTAGATGCGTTAGTTTCATCTGACATGCACCATGACGTATTTGCTTTTTTAATATTTTACTTATTTCCTAGATTGATATTGCATATCCATGTATATGTAATATATCTGTATACCTAGATACAAATATACAATTTATTGAGTGCTTACTATATGCCAGTCACTGTGCAAAGCACATGCATTATTTCATTTAATCCTCACAAAAGCCATGTGAGATGGGCAGTAGGCAGAAACTGGGCTGAATGAAGTGAAGAATTCTTCCTAAGGTCTCCCAAAAGCTCCCTTGGGCTGAACCAGGATTCACACCAAAATTGGTCTGATTCTAAAGCCTGAGTTTTTAGCCACTTTGCTGTATTGACAAGAACCCTTTAAGCCATTTGGTGAGTTTCTGGCATGCGTGTATAGCTATATGATGCAAATGGTAATTAAAAGGACACAAAAAATAAATTTCTTCCTTATATGGAGATATTTTATTTTTTAATATTGTAACTAAAATTACTTTGAGGGTTTTTTTTTTTACTATTATTGACTAGAAAAAATGAAGTCACATAGAGTAGTAGATCCAATAGAAAATCTCTCCTGTTTTTAGTTGTCCGTAAATTCTTTCAACAAATACGTGTGTCTGTCCACCTTGTGTTCTGTCATGAGGCTGGGAATACAAAGAAAGCACAGATAGGATGATGGTGCTCAAATATGTGGAAGTTCATCTGGGGTCACAGGAAACGCACATAAGGATGACTTCATTCTGTATAATAATAGTTAGCCACACAGTAGATGGGATGAGTATGGTGTGAATAAGTGTAATCAGAGTGTAAGAAGGGAAAGAAAGAAATCAATGTGCGTGGAAATGGTGAGATGGAATTGGACCAAGGCTACGCGAATTTAAAAGAGAGAGATCCAACATAATAAGACTCTTGTTATTTTATTTGAAGTGTAGGCCCCAAAGACAAAGCCAAATGTCATTTCTGATTGCCCAGGCTGTGGCTTCCCTTTATTAGAACGGATAATAAAGAGTTGACTGTATTTTTTTTTACGTAATACTTGAAAAGCAGAAGACAAGTTATCTTGGTTATGTTTTTACAATTCTTTAAAGAGTTTTGCTGAGTCACTAAGCTGCTACCAATACTCCATTCTATATGCAGTTTTTTTTCCTTTTTTTTTTCTCTATTCATGGAATAGTTTGTGATTTATGTAGCACTCTCAGAAAATCGTGGGCCAGAAGCTTCTTTAAAAAACAAGGCCAAAACTTGACATTGCATATATTGTGAATTGAAAATCTTATGTATATTTTACTGCCTGCTTTACCTTTCTGATTCAGGTGAAGTATTTGATTACTTAGTTGCCCATGGAAGGATGAAAGAAAAAGAGGCCCGTGCAAAATTTAGGCAGGTACGGAAAGTGGTTTTCAACTTTGTTTTGCTGCTATTTCTAGTGATGTGCATTGGATAGTATCACAAACGGCACTTCAGGGTATATGGTGTTTTACAAAGAAAAAGTCTTGCTTTCTTATACTTTTTATGAATGGAACACTGAAAAAGAAATCTCTTCTTCCTGAATTTAAATTGAAAAGAGTTGCACATGGTTATTTTTAGATGATTACAAGTAGCAAAATGCTTATAGGTGAGACTCATGAATTGATAGTCTTGGAGATATAAACTGGACTGAGATAGAAAAGAAGTACTTAAGCCTTTATCTAATCATTATTATCAAGTATCGTTAGCTCTGTATACACAGCATATATGTGCAGTGTGTAAAGGGGTTATTGTCTTATTTTCTTTTGTACTTAAAGATGCCTTGGTATTAGAACTCATATTTTTATACATTTAAAGACTATGGTCAATTTTATTTAGTCAGGTAGACAAGAACCTTGCAAATGTGGCAGAAGAATATGGTAAGATATTTGTATTTCCAATTCAACTTGAATATGACTTGTTACAGAAATGACCAAATAAGAAAAAAACAATTTTAAGTTGATCTAGGATTTTATTTTTAATTTTTAGGAAAGAAGGGATTGAAATTAGCATATGGTATAAATTACTGTAAAAAATGACACATTAATAAATTCTCATTTTAAACATTTACTGAAGTAAAGTTTCAGCAGACAACTTACTATACCACAAACCAGCTGACCAAAAGTAAGAGTGAGTAGTAAGTCTTTAAAATACACACTGAGATCCCAGTGGGAATATTTCATGCCCATTGGGATTTCCTGGCTCATCAGCTGTGTACTAGAACCACAGTGACAGTACTGAAATAACATAACAGGGACATTAAAAGTGACCACTGCACTTTACTTCAGGTAAGCCTGGACCTGGGCAGCTAGGACAGGAGAGAGTTTGATGGTACACGGCTGAACTCCATTTGGTTTCTCCAAGCTGCTTCCTTATTGCCAGTTGTTTTTAGAGTCGGCTGTTTTAAGATGCCTGCCTCTAGGACTCTATCCTGATTGAAAGGTCTAGGTATGTCTTTGACATAAAGCCTTTTGCACACTGTGTTCTGAAAAGTCATGATTCCATGACAGAGTCACAACAGAGGTCTCCCAAAACAAAGTCTGTAATCAGTTCAGAGGATGCTCTATCAAAGCTGAACAGGTTTTATTCTTCCCCTCTGCTTCCGAGCTTCTCCAACGGTTCATACCCTATGCCCTTGACTCCAGTGTCAGATACAGCAGAGGCGCTGGACAGTTCAAGGCCACTTTAGCAGCCATCAATCCCACAGTGCCTCTGGACTCCTCAGGATTGGGTGGCCTGTGAGAAAATCCCAGTGTTGACTCAACTCTTCCAATAGCAAGGCCACTACTTCAAGCTTTGGAATTCCTTCCCCACTTACTAACAAACTGCAAAGGCACCCTAACAGTGGCCTCTCACAGCACCACGCCAGCATGTCTGGTCTCACAGGCAGCGTAGGGCTGACAGTGACTCATGTTTTCACGACCTGTAACAGAAGGACTGCAGGGAAATTCCTGCATCCCACTTACCGGTGTTTGGAGAAGGGCGGGTCTGGCCATCAAACAATGCAGTGAAACTTGGACTTGGGACTGGGGTTCTTGCAGTGAGTCAGACTCAGAATTTCTTCCACGGCAGAGATTGTACCTGGCTAGAGAAGTGTGGTAATACTGTAAACCACCATGTCTGCCTGCTGGAGGTCAGAGGTTGTAGAGCTTGGGGAGAATGAATGCTTAATACAGAGCATTCTCCTTAATTACCTTTCCATTCTTAAAGCCTTGGGGCCCATGGGAGTTTTATTTCAGAAGTGCCTACAGAGCTGCCTTCGTAGAGATTGTTCTGGCCAATGTGAAATGCATGTTTGGCAAGCAAATCGTTATCTATCACTTGCCCCCTTCACTGTATCAAGACAAAGAGACTTGAAAAAGATAATATTAGCAGCAAATTTCTGTCATCCATGGTACAAACATAGCCCTGTAGTGTGAACATACTCTAGCCATGTGTTGTGTTCAGTAAGAAGTATTAATATCCGTATATAAATATATAGATCTCTTGGCTAATGGCCTTATCTTAGTGAACATTGGATATTAGAATTTTGAAGCCTATTGCTTCAGAAAACATGCTATAAATATTCATTGTGAGGTTCTTCCGTATTCTGGGGACTCATGCTTCAGCCCGATCATTGTCATTCATAATCTTTTTACTCAGAAACATGGAGCAGGTATGCAGTACCTGCTTAGTCTGGAATTCAGAGACTTGCCAGCCTGTCTGTCAAGGTTTACCGTTACCATATCCCACCAGCTCCAAATAGCATTTGGCCTCAGCATCGGTGCTGAGCACCCTCTCACCTGCTTCCGCCTCGTCACCAAACCTCCACGCCCTAAACTCTTACTGTCCTTCAAGGATGGCCTAGATCAAGTATCGCCCACTCCAGGAAGCACTGCGGACTGAATCAGTTGTGTAGTTTTCTGTATTTCCTCCCTTCTTTGTACTTCCGCTTCTATAGCTCTGCCTTGTGTTGTGGTTCCTCGCACACATGTCCTCTCCTCCTGATCAAACTGCCGGCTCCTTAGGGGCAGATTCCCTGTAGTGTTAATTTTGGTGTTTGCCCCAGCCCATTTTCTTGCACATAGCAGGTACTCAATAAACTGACTATTGACTCAAAATAAATGTAATCGAATTACGTGTTACTCATCATGTGTTGATTTTGTTTTGAATCCATGTCTTCTTTGTCCTTTGAACCATTTTAATATACATCAGGATGATTTTAGAGTACCAAACTGCCTGTTTCACCCCTGAGAACCCAGGAGTTTTGTTTTAACCCATACTCCTCTTAACATGTTCATCCCTCATGTCATCATTGGGCTTTCAGAAACCTCATTACTCTCTCCATTTGTCAATGCGTAACCAATATTTAATATCCAGACTGTGTTTGCATTTAACTGAATCCACAGAATTGAATGTTCTGTTGTGCATTAAAGTGGTTGTCCTCCTAGACATCAGATATAACTGTTTGTACCCAATAGCTCTCACTCGATTGCTATAAGAATTGGAAACTCTTTCCAATTCTCTGTTCACCGTGGTACATTATTATGAAAGCATTGCTACACCCTATTTCTAATTTGTGTCTTTGGCTCTTAATCTGCTGGGGTTTTCCCAGTTTCGACTTTGTCCCCAATGAGCCTGAAGTAATGGTTGAAATTGCATCTAAAATCTAGTGACAGATTTGCCCACCTGACTTAGAGACAGGTTTAAAATGAAATTTTATTTTTTATTCTTTTCTTTTAATAAGGGTGTCTATTGTTAAGGCACAATTTTTCCCCACTTTTTCATACTTGAACACATGAAAGATATTGCTAAATACCCCACCGATAAGTTCTGAGTCAGTTGGCCTCACTAAAGAAACATGTGTTGAACACATTTGATGTAATTCCTAAAATAGGGTTCTGCTCTTTGAACTTGAACCAACTATTTTGGAATACTGATTTACGTTTGCCAAAGTTCTTACTCCAACACTGGAATAAACAAACTATTTAACCAAAGCTGCAAATTGTACACATTCGATCGTATAAACAGAGAAATATAACCGCCCATAAAAATCTTTACCACTCCGACAAAGAAACATTTTGGTATATTGTTTCAAGCAAATACTACTTTTCCACATTTTCTGCATTTAAGAGTGAGTTTTCAGCACTTTGACTTCGATACATATAATTTTGTGAAGTAAAGGAACAGTGAAGCTATTAAATATTACTTTAAACTTCAAGTTAGCGATTTATCTAAAGTGGAGCTGATACTTGGGGGAAATGGTGCTTTTTAAAAATCTTTTTCCCAAATATTTATTTCAGATTGTATCTGCTGTGCAGTATTGCCATCAAAAGTGCATTGTTCACCGTGATCTTAAGGTAAGCCACCGGTTTTGTAACGGAAAATTGTAAATTCTTAACTGATAGTTTACAACATTAGAACCATCTCTGGTTGCCTGATTGTGCCAGGCCCCCATACAAGGAAACTAGTTTTCATTTATTCTTCACAGCAACTTTATAAAAGGCAATATTTCACTGAGAAAATGAAAATATGCAAGTAGTTATCTAGCATTCAAGGCGAGAGGATTTGATTCGCCATTAATAAGCTCATTGTGACAGATAGTTGTGGGACTTGGTGTCAAAGTGAAAATGCCTTAAGGTCCTATTCAGTCAGAAGCAAGGTCTGGGCACAGATCCAGTTTGATCAGATTTAAGAGCCAATTCTCATTCTTTACGTTAAGGCTCAAAGAAATAAGGGAAAATGTTAAACTTTTTTGTGAACATCACATGTATCTGATTAGTATCAAGTGAGGTATTTTGATGTAACACATGTATGATAGGAAACATTTGTGGCAACAAACATGGGAGCAGCCATCCCTCTTGGGGGCACCGATTTCGTTCCCATGGGGCGTGTATCCCAAAGAGGGACTGCTGGATCCCAGAGGAGTTCTCATTTTAATCATTCAAGGACCTCCATACAATTTTCCATACTGTCTGTGCCGATTTACATTTCCATCGAGAGTGTTCAAGGGTTCCCTTTTCTCCACATCCTCCCCAGCACTTACACTGTTGATGCCATCCTGACAGGTGTTTGCTGTCTCATTGTGATTTCTGATTTGCGTTTCCCTGACAACGAGGGGTGTTGAGCACCTTTTCCTGTACCTGTTGGCCACTTGTATGCTTTGTAAAAATGTCTATTGAGGTGCTTTGACCAGTTTTTTAGTTGTTTTTTGTTTTGTTTTGTTTTCTTCCTATTGAGCTCTGTGACTTCCTTACAGATAGCATAGGCAAAAGTAGGTTTACAGTTGTGAGTATGCAGAACACAAGAGTTTAGTCTTACGTTATTATTTTTTAGGTACTGTGTTATTTTCCATACGAACAACGTAAACCTATTTTTTCCCCACCCTGGATTTTGCATACTAGCCCTTTATCAGGCATGTGGCTTACAGATACCATCTCATAATCCATGGTTGCCTTTTAATGCTCAAAGTATTACTCCTTTTTGGAACCTGATAAAACACATCTACAAAGTAACCTAAAACTTTCTTAGCTTATCAGTTGTAACAGAGTTTGATTTTTAAAAATGTACAAAAGCAAATAACTTTCTTGACTCACTTGCATTTACCAAGGGCACATTTTAGACTTTTTCTTGGAGTGATTCTGATTTAGGATTTTGGAAAACTAGGGTCTCAGAACGTGGAGGGAGGGAGCGGCGAATCACTGCTTTCTCCCAGAATAGACCTCCAGGAGAGAATCTAGTTTCAAACCAGCAAAAGGAAGCTTTAACAGACAAGATCTAATGGAGCCTGTATTGTATCGCATTGCTTTAGTGAAAGCACAGAACTTTGTTGAGGAAGCATTTCGTAGGAGAGGACAAAGGATTGAACTCAGTAGTCCCAGAAGCCCCAATGGGCAGTTATTGTAGGCATTAGCTTTGCATTAAGCAATGATCCTCTATTAAAATAGGGCACTGTTGGATAAACTTTGTTGCTCTAAGCCCAAAATGGATTTGTGTTATGATGACCAATGTTCTTCCGGCTAAGAACACATTAAAATACAGTACCAGGATGTCACCGACCTTGAAGAAAAGTGGGTTTAAAATAGCCTTTCTTAAACAGTTGCAGACACACATAAAAACAAGAGCTGTCACTTGTGTTGTGCTTGAATCAGTCCTTTGCTGATGTAACTCGGACCAGATACACTTGAACCCGCCCTGCTGGTCCCACTGACCAGCTATCCCACTGACAAACGAGAGGCAGAAGAGAGGTGGTTGGGATCAGAAACAGTTCTAACGGAGATTTGATGTGATGTAGGCTCTTTACATTCTCCTTTTTATTATTTTCCTCTTAGGCTGAAAACCTTCTCCTTGATGCTGACATGAATATTAAAATTGCTGACTTTGGTTTTAGTAACGAATTTACAGTCGGGAACAAATTGGACACGTTCTGCGGCAGCCCCCCTTACGCGGCTCCGGAGCTCTTCCAAGGGAAGAAATACGACGGGCCCGAGGTGGACGTGTGGAGTCTTGGCGTCATCCTCTACACGTTAGTCAGTGGCTCCTTGCCTTTCGATGGCCAGAATTTAAAGGTACCCGCTAACCCCGAGAGAGTCCCGGGTTCTCCTTGCGCACGTGCGTTTGAATGACAGCTGAGAACAAGGGCTTTTCTTTCGCTCTTTTCAGGAACTGCGGGAGCGAGTCTTACGAGGGAAGTACCGTATTCCCTTCTATATGTCCACCGACTGTGAAAACCTTCTGAAGAAGTTACTAGTGCTGAATCCCATCAAAAGAGGCAGCTTGGAAGTGAGTCCGGTTTTGGTGCTGCGGATTTTCGTGCAACAGTTAAAATAGTCTGGGAACTGAAGAGCATTTTCAAATAATTTTTTCCCTGCGGTGTTTTTTTTTTTTTCCTTAAAGAAAATTGCCAAATCGTCTAATTCGTCTTTTGTTTTGAGCTAGAAGAGTAACGTGATTCTTTCACTATTTGAGGTATCACAGTAGGTGTCTACAAAGGCTGTTGTTTCTTCTTTGTCCGGAAATGAAGTATGAAATTAACACAACAGGAATCAGGAGGAAATGGAGTTTTAGTTGGAGCAGCAGGCAAACCTAAGCCTTGTCACATGTTGCTCAATCCAATACAGAAACCTTGTATTTAGTAAGTACAAATATTCTGAAGATAAAAGGAGACAGTGGGAATTCGAATCCGGTAAATACTTTGTGGCTATATCTGAAATTAGTATCTTAAGGTTTATATAGAAATCGCAGCATCAGTACAGAAAATTGACACATATTCAAGTAGAACATTGGAAACAGGTATTTCATTTCTTAATGGACTGGTGTGTTACCTACTCACATTCCGCCTGTGAGGTTATTTATGATAGATGATATTATAAATATACTGTTTGTTATAGTGGCAGAACATCAGAGACTCTTAACCGAAATGTCTCCCCTTTGTTCCTTCTGATACTGAAATCAAAACAATTTACTTCTTTTTTATTTAAAAAAATTTTTAGAACAACTTATTTCTGAAGTATTTTGCCTGGTGTTTTTTTTTTTCAAGAGTGATGTTTTACCTGTACTGACTTAATTCAGCATGTATTGTTCACTAGAATACTTTTGTCTTCATTTATTTGCCTTAGCAGATAGGGTAGACAGTTCAAACAAATAACCTCTTTAAACTGTACTTTTTTTGGAGTAGCCATGGGACTTTCTGGCACGGACTCCGTGCCTTCAGAGAGCCATCTCTGGGTACAGAGATCTCAGATTAGTTTGGGCTTTGTGATTTTATTTTCACAAGTATTTTTCATTACAAGATACAGTATGTTTTGATGGAAGTTAAGAGATGGTGACTTCCATTGCCAGATTATTTTTAAATGCTTTGTCAGTGAATCAATTATCAGATATTTTTTACTGAATTATTTGTTTAAATCTAATGAGTTTCTTCCTGTGATTTTTTTCCTTTGGGGGTAAAAAAATATGTTAATGTTTTAATAGAGAAATGTGTGCGGTAGAAAAGCTACTTCCACATACTGCCTTTGTAAACTTCCTTTCAACCATCATTCATAGAAAGTTATGGGACATTGTTAACCAGTTAAACTGGTTGAGGCTCATATTCCCATTCTAAAATGGTATGGGAACGTAAGTCCCTCCTAATCTTGCTTTATGACTCACTTTTATCATAGGAGTCTCATTTACCTGAGTGTCACTTCATAAAATGCCCAGAGTTGATGCATCGGCCCAGCGCATTAGCCAAGCAAAGGATCACACAAAAATTACTTGGTAGGACAGATGTCACAAATATATATATTCGCGGATAGTTGAGAAGATGTAAGATATACTTAGTATTTTAAACAGGATTAATTTCCAGTGGCCAAATATTAAATCTATTCTTAGCATTAAAATTCAAAGTATTAAAGTATTAGAATTCTCTGAGTTGAATTTAAAAAGCCGAATCATTATTATGCAAACATTTGATCATCAGAAACTCAACTTGATGTATTTGAATATACATCAAGTATATTGATGTATACTTGGAACCTGTTCCAGTTTATCAAAACTAAGTTTCCCAGCCACAGAACCAGGAGTCTACATTGGAAATATTAGAATATTGCAGAAATCACCCTACGAAGCCTGGTATGCTTCAGAGTGTCCCAGAAATGACTTTCCAGAGAAACCTGACACTTAAAGAAAAAAATATTTCTGACACCATACCTTAAGCAACTCGAAATGACAGTGATGTCAAAAATTAGTCTTCACTTTTATTTTTTCATACCAATTTTATTGTCAATTTTATAACCAAAAGAACCCCATAAACTATAAAAAGCTGCTATTTTCAAAACACTAATTACAGTGGGTAAACATAAATTTTTATAGAGTTGTACCCTTTGCGTATCATGCTGCAGTCTTTTTTCTCTTTAACTCAAAGGCTTTGGGTACCTAGCTTTTGCCTTATCCTGAGTGTGAGTTCCTTGTTGATTGCGATGTTGTCTTTCTTGGATCATGCATCATGTTTTATTTAACTATTCCCTGCTTTTGCACATTTGCGTTGCTTTCATTGTTTTTGCTAAAAATTAAGGTGATATACTAATTTCCCTTCGAGATACATACTTAGATGAATTCTCCAGAATGTAATTATGGGGTCAAAGGGTGCTAACGGTCCGACAGTTCCGTGTGTTGGTGCCCAAAGACCCTGTGCGAGCCGGGGCATTTGAAGGTGCCCGTTGTCCACAGCCTGATTCAGCAGGGGCTGTCAAAATTTCTGCTGTTTGATGCCTTTGTGGTAATACTGTTGTTCGCCATAACTGCTTTAACTTTTATTTATTTCACTAAGGATAACACTCAATATTTTTAATGACTAGATTAACCATTCCTCCTGCTTGTCTAAACAGGTCTGATCAGCCTTGGAGATTTGTAGTTGCTCTGTACATTTTAATAGGAAATATCTCCCATATTTCTAAAAAATGAAACTTCATGTATTTCTTTTTGGTGTTTCTTGTGTGTCGTGAGTTATTTCTTAAATGCTAGTCTTTCTTCGGCATATAATTTACTAACATCGAAATTTGATTTAGACAATTTTGGGTGGCTACTTATTTTCTTACTAAGCTACCTATTTTAACTTATTTAACACCTTCCAGTTGCTTCTCAGATATGACTGCAAACATCACTGAAGTATTTCTTAAAGCCTTATAAATGAACTGCCTCCATGAAAATAGAAGTAATGAAATTAGTTTCAGAGTCGGTCTGCATGACTTACATGGTTGTTTCTAGATCTGAAACTGCTACATAATTTTTTTAGGTTGTGTGTATGAATGCTGCCAGCTCTTCCGAATCGCACTGATAATGGGAGGGATAGTATCACCTGATTTTTAAAGGATTTGTGTTTTTATGTTGTGCACCAAGTTTTTATCTCCTGTTTATGTAAATATTGATGCATCTAGATGTTTTTATTAGAAAGAAACTGCAAAACTTTTGTGCTATTCCACACATACACACACACACACACACACACGAAAAACTATATGTCTATTTTTTCTTTTATTTCCAGTTCTTGACCAGGATGGACTGTGTCACCTTTAAAATAATGCAGAATTTGAGCTAAAGTCAAGCTCCTACGTTCTGCTCTTTCTCTGTGCTCTTCGGTCCCCCTGAAAAATACCTTTTCTTGGCTCAGCTCTGATCATCTTCAGCAGTTCATTTATGTTTGGCCCGTACAAGCGACAGTACTGCCAATGATCCTGCTGACAACAATCGCCTTTTTAAAAAATGCCAAGATTTCTAAGGACAAACTCAGAAGCACATGATGTCATTTTACAAAGGTTGAAACCATCTAAGACGAATTCTTTCCGTCCGGCCATCCTAAAGTCCGTCATTTTTTTATGTGCACCTGAGTGGAAGGTGTGGCTCTCTGTTGTTAATTTAATTCCTTACCATTCGTCTGAATCAGTTATTTGGTTGGAATTTGCCAGGAAGGAGTCATTCACGTTGGTTGGCAGTGGTGGCTGGAGCAAACCTTCTTTTGTTAAGTTTGGAATCTTGTTTGACTTCACTGTTTCTTGTTCTGGGATCTCAGATGAAATCGAAGTGGATTAGGTCAGTCAGCGGGCCCTGGGCGGGTTTTGGCCCAGCAATTTCGACCCTGCCCGAAGCCTCCCAGCCGGGGTCACATGAGAGCACCCCCCCACCCCCACCCCCCATCACACAGCACCTGCTTTTCCTGGGGACACTTCTTCTCTGGTTTTGAATATTAACTCTGTGGTCCCCGCAGAGGAATTTTGTATAGGCGTGGGGTTTTTCCTTCATGTGCACAGAGAGACAATGGTTACAAAATGAGCACCAAATAAACACAGTTTGATTGAGAAATTTTAGAAAATTCAGATTATCACTGTAAGTTTGCTTATAATTGTTTATCTTCCAACTCTCAGATCTGGTATTGCTCCTGCATTTCTTACTTAATTCGGATTCCCAGTTCTGCCAGGCACCTGAGTTAGAAGCCTTAAAAACCCGCTGGATTCCATCCTTGCTCTCGTTCCTTAAATGAATTTTATCACTAGGTGGTTTAGATTATCTCTCTACGGTCCTTCTTCCTTCCATTCCCTCACGTCCAGTTCAGTCCTCTGCGGTCTGTCTCCCGGACGTTTCACCCACTTCCTCAGCTGTCCTATGTTACTAATCTCTGCCTTTTCCTTTACCCAGGCCCTATTTGTAAACACCGCCTGGTTCAAAGGCAACAAGCCTTGTTCCGAGAAAGCTAGCATGAGGCACAGTCTTGATCCTCCGGGCCGTTAAGTGTAGTAAAGGAGAGGGGCCGCTGTCCGACTAGCTGTGATGGAAGGAGGACTGTGATAACAGGAACAATAGGGTGGAAGCAGAGCTCCAGGGGAACCCAAAGGAAGGGCGGACGAGTAATACGGACCAGACGTGCTCTTCATTCAGTCTGCAGACGCAATTTGAGCGTTGAAGCACTGGGTATATATTGGTGCTGCATCTGCCTATCGAACAAGTCAGACACAGGGCATTCTTTGTTTGGCTTCCTGGTCAGGTGGGACATAGATCATTAACGGGTAAACACAAAATATTTGCCGAAGACACTTTGCGCTGAATTGCCGGCAAAGATCAGAGCACCCGAAACAGTAACAAAAGGAGCTGGAGCCTGTATGGACCTTGTGAGCTTGAAAAAACAAAGAACTTAGATGGGAAACAAAGGACATTCCAGACAGATGTCCTTGTCTTGTAATCCACTGGGAAAATAGACACCAATGGTCACGAGTTCTTCATTTCCCACGGACATCCTCTGAACATTGCTGCTTGGGCCCCCGTCTCGTTTCCCTGGTCATGGTGGAGAGAGTTGCCTTGTCTCCGGTCCAAGACTTACCCATCCATTCCTGTGCCAGATTCAGCACACGTGACCCTGCGGTGAAGCTCTTTCCTCTGTGCCATCCAAGCCCCCGCTCCACTCTACTGACCCCTTTCCCCTCGGCCTTTCCAGACGCCGAAATACCCTCCGTTGAAAAACAGGCGTCCGCCCCCCCCCCAGCCCCCATCCAGAGCCACCTCTAGCCACCTCCCTTGCTGGCAGGCGTCTCAGACACGGGCCCAGGTCGTCACCATCCACCCGCATGCCTTGCCCTCTGGCCACCACCCCACTGAAACAGCCCTCACTAAAGGGTTGCTAAACACAGTTGGTTCCTTTTTTAGTTATCACCTTATTTGACAGGTCACCCCTTCGTCCTCTTTGAAAAACTCCTGTCTCGCCATCTTCCACGTTGCTCTCTGCAGAGCAGATTTCCCTCCTCCATTTACTTTCGTCGGAGGCCTTCTCCTCCTGGCCCGAGGTGCCCGCGTTCCTTGGGGCTCTCCCTTGGGCTCTCTGCCCTGCGTTCTCACTCTCTGCACTCCTCTTGGAGAATCGATCGGCTGTTACTATTTATCTGTGAGCTGAGTCCTACATCTCTGGGCGTCGCCTTCCATTTCTTGTGGCCCTGGCCCTGTCTCTTCTTCCCCAGTAGCCCGTCATGGGGTTTTGTTGATTTTTATACATTGAAAATTCTTGTTTTCTGTTGCCCCTGCCTCCCTTTCATTCAGAGCAGCATTGTCTGTCCCCTGCATCCCAGCCAAAGCCCCTTCATGGATCCTACCCCTCTGGTCTCGAACCCCCTCCTGTCCAGGGAGGCCTTTCAAAAGCGCACTCTGGCAAGACATTCCTGACACGGTTGAAAGACGCCATCATGACTTGGTCCCTGTTCGCTAAAATAGAGCTGAAACAAGTGGTGGGATGCTCTGGTTGGCCAAACGTAATGTAGAATTTATTTCCTAGCAAATAATGAAAGATCGGTGGATGAATGTCGGTCACGAAGAAGAGGAGCTGAAGCCGTATTCTGAGCCTGAACCAGACTTCAATGACACAAAAAGAATAGGTAAGTATTTAAATACATTGAGAGGTGCCTCCCTAGGCAGTAAGCAAGGGTCCCGTAATGCTCAAGAATGCAAACAGGAAGCAAGTTTTATTTGACAGGTGCCCGAGTTACCACCTTTTCTTTCCCCGATTGTATACTAAACATTGCAAATTTCAAGTTCCTTAGTTTATTCTCATGCATGTTATAGTCTAATTCGATTGTTGGCAACAGTGATATAAAAACTAAAGTAATGTAGACAAGCCTCATTCCTTCTTTTCAGCAATTTCTAGCAGGAAGAATGACTGAGGTATCAGCAGGGACCAGACTGATAAACATCAGCCAGACATTGCATGTATGTCAACCAAAAATGCGGGGGCCTCGAGTGACGAGGGCCTCCTCCTCTCTGTTTTCTGCGACTCAGCGGGGTCCATCCTCCCATGCCCAGCCCCATTCTGCATCCACAGCCTTTACCACCTCAAAACGGGATCCTCTCCACTGTGCTCCTGCCTGGCTTAGGAGCGGACGGGGGAACGTTCTAGGGTGTTAGGAACCTGATCGGAACAACTGTGGAATCCAAGCCTTCCAGAGAGGCATCAACCTGCCTCCAGATCAGAAAGCAGAAATTGTGAAATTACTCTGTGAGCGGCTGAGGGTGTGCTGATAGAGAAAGGAGTGTGTGTGTGTCTCTCTCTCTCACACACACACACACACACACACACGCAGATAGATACTGAGTCTCTGGGTGGACGCAGGAATTCAGCTCAGGAATGCGCTGGGCAGTGAACAGAACAGGCCCGGTCACGTCGAGCCCACGCTGGGGATAATCTCTGCGCGAGAAGCTGTGACCACACGGCATCCGGACACACCGTATCTGTTAGCAATCCACAAGTGTTTATGATTGATACTGCACTTTAAAATTCCAGAAGTTCGTTTTCATATATAATGTGGGCAGACTTGGCCTGTTTTTTGTCCGTGTGTTCCCTAAAACCCATTTTCAGGAAATGTGCATTTTTTTTCCTTTTCAGATGTCATGGTGACCATGGGTTTTGCGCGAGATGAGATCAATGACGCCTTAATAAATCAGAAATATGACGAAGTGATGGCTACTTATATTCTCCTAGGTAGAAAACCACCTGAAGTAAGTTTCTCACCTTTGTCGCTTTGTCACCTGAGTCATTTCTTGAGCTAGCAATGGCTAAGTCTAAGATACAATGTTAGCAAATAGATCCTGGGTGTAATCAGAAATAACATAAAAACCCCAACATCGTTATGTATTCGAATTCAAAATTCAAGATGCTAAGTTATACACTGATTTCATTGCCGAGTACCAAGAGACTCTAGTACTCAAAAGCAGGCCTGGTGCCTGAGTTCCAAGAGGTACCATTCATGGTCTAGGCTTTGAGAATGGCGCCCCCTAGAGTTGTGCATCCCAAATGCAACAGCCCTGCCGAAGCCAGTGTGCTTGTTCCAGGTGTGCCGAAAAGACAGTGACCAAAACAAGAGGAAGTGACAGCGTTCAGAACAAAGTGTATATCTTCAGAGATTGGTACAGGTGGGGACCCAGGCAAAAGTTTGCAGTATTTTTTTACCTTGTAGAGTGTTAAGTGGCTTTGATGCATTCACTTGGGATTCTCAAGGCCAGGCCAGGTCTGTCGTGAGACAGGTTTAGGAAAATCACTGTCTGCAAATGCCAGTTGAACCATCACAGCATCAACGGAGAGGCAGGAACAGAGCCCGGAGCACTGACGGTGTGTTGAAAATCTGACATCTGTGGGAAGCGTCTTATAGAATAGGCTGAAATTATTAATAATTAGATAGTACCCAATAGTGAAGCAGTGTATTCAGCCGACATATATCAAACCTACTCGGCATCAGAAACTGTGCTCAATACTGTGAATGGAAAGGCGTGGGGGTGTCTGCCCTCGGGAGCCCTCAGTCCGGCGGGCACATGAGCAGCCAACAGTGTGGGGCAGTGTGTGATCCGGGGAGGGTACTAGGGGCTCTGGGAGCTTCTCGGAGGATGGGCACCGACAGTGAGCCAAGATGCGCCAGAGGTAGATTAACAATACTCGGACCCCAGCTGGAAACGAGGGATGAGAGGCCCTCAGATTTCCAGCACAAGCGACTGGTTTCTGTGGTGCATTTGCCAAGATAGGAAGAGAGTAGGTTTCAGGGGAAGATGGAAAGTTCATTCCGCTTGGGGAGGTTGAATTGGAGGTCTCTGGGGCAGGGAGCTGTCTTGTAGACGATGGGACATGGGGAGCTGGGTCCAGAGGGCGTGACTTGAAGATTTGGGCATCATCCTCAGCCACGTGCCAGGAACTGCTGTGGGGACAAGTATTAATCCATCCAGTCCTCTCAACGGCCCCACCGGGTAGGCGCCGCCATCACAGTGGAGGGGAGGGGCCTTGGCTTGCTGGGCAGGTGGTGTCAGAGGAGCGAAGTCCAGGGAATTTTAAGAAAGGGGAAATAGTACAAATGCTTATTTCTGAAGTCTTCGAACCGTTTCTACTTAGATTTTAGGTTTCACTCATGAGCTCTTTAATTTTCCAATTAATTTAAGTATAAAGGAAGCGCTGATTTGACAAATATACAGCCCAGCCCACGTGTGAATTAAAAGGAACCTTGAACTATGCTGAGTATAGACTAATGAGGCTACTGCAAGTGGTCAGAGCCTGAACTTGGGAGCCAGGCCCATTGGTCTTGAACCCCCACCCCAGCCAGCTGCTTAACTGTGGGACTAGGGCGATTCACTTCATTTCTCTGTGCCTTGGTGTCCTGTCTACACAATGAGGCTAATCATAGTACCTACTACCTGGTAGGGTCACTGAGGGTTCAATGAGTTAATACTTCTGCAGTCCTAGGAGCAGTTCCTGTGTGTTCTGTGTAAGCTGTTATCTATTACAGTTTTCGTCATCAATGTTACCCGCATCTTTGCGTAGGAATTCAGATGACCCATTGGGACGTCAGTGATATGGTAGAAAGTTTGCTGGCAAAAAATATCTTTTATGTTACAGAGCAAGGGATAGTGTACTGATCTCCAATGTACCTTGCTTAGTTCTAAAGAGACGCAATTTCTTGATCAGAGCCAATAAACGCAATGTGGTTCTGTAAGTGTGGTGGAGAAAACGAAACAAAATGCGTGCGCACACATGTAGTATCAAGGTCAACCTTTAGATTTGGTCTTGACTTTGAATCCAGAGATGTCCCTTGACCCTCTTAACCTCAGCGGTCCATCTGTAAAGTGTGGATGAACAAGTCACAGGTTATTTGGTCATGATTATTAAACAGCGTCACCTGTATAAAGCTTCGCACGGGATATAACAGCCACTTGGTGGTTGGCAGCAGTTATTGGGTGTTTTGTGCAAACTAAGGCACCAGAGCCATTGGGACAAGATAGCAAGGATCCCACGTGCTCGTGGAAACCGTTACATCCATTGCCTTCGCTTCCTGTTTGCCAACTTGCAGTTCTGGGTGCAAAGTAATCCTTTCTGAGCTCAGATGACTCCTTGTATAGCTCGGAATAGATGAGCAGGTCAGGAAATGTGCGTTGTCTGCATAAACACCGTTGTGTTTTGAAACCCCGGTGGTCTCTCTTCTTCTTATAGTTTGAAGGCGGTGAGTCATTATCCGGCGGACACTTGAGTCAGAGGTCGCGGCCCAGTAGTGACTTAAACAGCAGCGCCCTGCAGTCCCCAGCTCACCTGAAGGTCCAGAGGAGCATCTCCGCCAACCAGAAGCAGCGGCGTTTTAGTGACCATGGTGGGGGGCAAGTCAGATAAGCGAACTCCCAGACCGATTTCCCCCGCCCCTCGAACCCGCGTGTTCTCAGCATCATACACTCACCCCTTCACGTGCCTGTGTCATCCCGGTCCCCACGGATTCTATCACCGAATGGCACGCAGAATCCCTTTCTCAGAGACTGACCTCATTTTTTGTAATGAAACACCTTCAGCTGACTTCACAGTGTAACACATGCAAAGAAGGCTATTTTTAATACAGAGGTTTTGTACGTAAAAAGAAAATATATCAGTTGTTTTATAGCTCATTAAGCTCTTTTTTTCCTTTTTTTTTTAAATGATAGCTGGTCCATCCATTCCCCCTGCTGTGTCCTATACAAAGAGGTCTCAGGCCAACAGTGTGGAAAGTGACCAGAAGGAGGAGTGGGACAGTGTGACCGTGCGTAAACTTGGCAGTACCACGGTCGGCTCAAAGAGCGAGATGGCCGCCAGCCCGCTCGTGGGGCCAGAGAGGAAGAAGTCCTCGGCTATTCCAAGTGTGAGTACCTGCTCCGGTCCGCTGCAATTTGTGGTGGTTATCCATCGTCAGGAGTTTCCGTCAGAAGAGTTGTTTCAGTGTGGCAAAATCTTAAAATAAGTCATGCATTTTGAGAACATGCAAAAGGGATTCTCTTTCTCATAAATGCAGTGTAGGGACAAAACAGAATACAATATGAATTCTTTAAATTGCACTGAACCTCACCACAGAATGGTGCATTAAACTTTCCTCTGTAATATTTACTTAATATTCTAGTAGTGCATTTAATTGTATGTTTACGAATGGGGTGTTCTGTGAGGGCAGACTGTTCATTACTTTATAAGTGTAGCTCACATTATTCACTTACAACGGCAAACTCAAGAAATTGTGTAAAGGGAGTTAGGAGATTGTGATCTTCTCCATGGCAGCAGGAAAGAGTAAAGAGACTAAAATATAAAAGAGTACTAAAACATATCTATCTGTTAACTTTCTAGGCCTCATGATTGAACACATTTTAAGCTAGTGAGTATTTTTAAAGAATCGTGAAAGCTGGATTATGGAAAAAACAGGGAAATGTTTGTCTGTAGGAGTAGGGATTAAACAGAAGAGTATTCATCCCTTTTGAAAAGTATTCGTATGCAGTTTGGTGCCAGTCATGAATCAAGGGCGTGGCGGGGGTGCTGTGAGGGGTGAGGAGGGTCTGGCCCACAGTAAGGAGAACCAGCTGCTTTTCAGTTAGTCTTTCTTTGTTCTCCGAGCTTCTCAGAGTTGGCCTGCCTCCCGGCTCAAACCTGAAATGAGGAAATATTCTCAGAGTGGCACCTGCTCATCCCTTTCTTGGTGGCTTCATGCCTTTGACCATATACCTTATTCTTCTTAGCATTATTACCCTTGGCTGCCCCCCCATCTTCACCGCCTCGGGGTTCCAGTTTCTGATAATATTTACATGGACTCATCTCTAGCTTCTAGTTCCATGTAGCTTCCTGTACCACTCGCTGCTCTGTCGACCTGTCCCCACCCCAGGCTCACAGAGAAGAGAATAACACCCATCTTTCTGGTTGCTTCCAAGCAACTGCTCGCTACTGCTGTAGAACAGTGAGCTGAAACGATAATGACCTTATGTGCTCTGCCTTTTACTCCTACAGCCTATAGGAGAGAGAGAGAGAGAGAGATGACAGAGAGCTCACTCATACCAGGTTCTGGTCAATTAAAATCGACATGCGTTTTTTCCAGAGGCCTCTGCAGCTTCAGTTATTTCTTTGACTTTCCACACCTGCAGTCGGAATTTTAAAATGCCTTTTTTCCCCGTTTCTTAAAGAACAACGTGTATGCTGGTGGTAGCATGGCAAGGAGGAATACATACGTCTGTGAAAGGACCACAGACCGGTACATGGCCCTGCAGAACGGCAAAGACAGCAGGTAAAGGTCGCAGTGCCAGGCGACCTCCCGGGGGATGGTCCTGCATTAGTGCTCTCGCCAGAAGCCCTGTGCTGATGGGTCGAGTGGAGAGGAAATACAGAACAGAAAGATCTCCGCCAACCGTTCTAACGGGGGGGCGGGGGGGGGTGGTCTTCTCTTCTGTGCCGGAGGGGAAAGGTGGGAAAATATTTAGGGAAAACAGGAGGTGCATCTCTCACCCTGAGAATTTCTGAGCAAAATCTTTTCTACAACTATTTGCTCTTTGCCTGTAACAAAGCCAATGGTCCCATCCTCATCGGATCTTCATCCTTCGGACCTTATTCTCTCCACACACCTGCCGCTCCCTTCTTCCTCTGAAGAAGTGGGGCGTCTCCACCAATCGCCGAGAACAGCCCAGTTCTCAGAGTGTTTCGTTTTCAATAATGATCGACCGCGTTAGTTTTATTTTAAAAATTGAGCTGCTTTTCATCATGAGTGACAATGCAGGGCCGTTCCTCAGTGTAGCACAGAAGGGCAGGGAGCTGGTTCTAACAAAACTGTGTGCTGGGTTTCACCCCCGGTCATTTCGGTCGACTGGACAGACTGTCCTTACATTTGTTTCCTCTCAGCTGACAGACGCATTGAGATTGTGTCCCACTGACTGTAAGTCATAGAAAGGTGTCTTCCTTGGACATAAAATGCTTTAGACTAGATATTAAAATAGTGGGGGATTGATTTCCGGCTTAGTATTTTTCTAGTCCTAAGTCCTACTCGGGAGTTCCTTTAATCTACACAGTTACCTTGTCGATTCAGGGATAGGAGCTGAGGGATATTTTAATGGTGTTTTCAGCAACAGTGTGTTTGCGGTAATGATGGATCACACACCAGACTGATTTGCAGAGAGTGAAAAGGGTCCCCAGTCACAGTCATTCTATCCGTAAAAATCATTCCATCCCACCTCAGAACCACATATATACGAGGGCAGGTGTGGGTAGATGTTTCCCGTGGACGGTGGCGGTGAAGTCACCCTGCACGTCTTTCTCAAGACCGTTGATTTCTCCGTCACTAATAACGCCAGTGATGTTAGTTTCTTTTAAGTGTTTTAATTTGAAAGGTGTTCATCCATTTCCTTCGAAATGTCTAATTCTTAAATGCTACTCAACTGCGGTTTCCTCTCCTTTCCACGTTTCTGCTTTACGCGAAAAGCCTCTCGGAGATGTCGGCCAGCAGCATCTCTTCCACGGGCTCCGCTGGGGCCTCCGGTGTCCCCTCCGCACGACCTCGCCACCAGAAGTCCATGTCCGCTTCTGGCCACCCTATCAAAGTCACACTGCCAACCATTAAAGACGGCTCTGAAGCTTACCGACCCGGGTAAGGCGCAGGGGCCGTTTCCTTGTGTTTGTAGAGGAGTTTTTAACAACAGGGCACCTGTGAGGAGCCATGAGGGGCCCCAGGGCAGGGGTAGCGCAGTGAAAAGGTGCAGTTGTGAACCGCAGAACTGGAACATGAGCTTACAACCCCCTCCTCGCTGAGAACACTGTCGATCATTTAGATCAGTTTCTAGCGGCATTTTCTGGAAGGGTTTTATTTTAGATCCATTCTTAAGAGAAAAGCATTGCTGCCTGATTGGTCATTTAGGCAAATTGATTTCACGATCTAAAAACAAAAGCATCCTGAGACTTGGGGGTTGAGATCCCCGGGCCATGGTCCCGGCTCCTGCCGGTTACTCCTTCTCAGTAAAACTGGCCTTTTAGTTTCCGCGTCAGTGAAACTGGTGATCTCAACAAGCCCTTTGAGGCAGAAAATTATGTGACTGTGTTTCTAGTTTGTGCCCATGTTAGGATCTCTCGAATCTGGAACATCTGTGACAGGCAGGCTTGTTTGCTGCTGGTGGCGTGGGGGCCTCCGCTGTTACTGAGGCCTGAATTGTAGGTAGGAAGTAATTCAGTTCCAGTAAAAATCACATTCTGTGTTCCCAAATGGATTAGGTTAAGGTAATAATTTAAAAAAAGAAAAAGTATATGCAGTAGCCAGCCCCACCAGCCTGGGTTTGGCATTTCTGACACTAAAAACTACTATTCTTTGTATCCTTGTATCGGTAATATCTTCATCTTTTGTAGCTACGTTTTTATAAAGGGCATTCAGCGCCACACTGAAATGTTATCCCTCTACCTGTGATGGTTTAGTAACACGTCCAGTAAACGCTGCCCCACCGGGCTTGTAAAACACAGGACGGGCGGAATAGCAGCCACCATGGCTGAGCACACAGCACCATCAGCAAACATACAGGCGCTGCATTATAGAATTGTACATGAAACACATGCAATGTTATTAACTAGTGTCACTCAAATTTCATTTTTAGAAAAGGAATAGGGACACTGAAATAGAGAACAAGGGGGCAGTGACCAGAGGGGAGAGGGAAGGGAATTTAAGGGGGAAAGGGGGAGGGATTTGGAGGAACAAGTATGAAGGACACAGGGATGAGGACTGGGGGGGTGGGAAATGGGAGGGAGGTGGGGAGCATGGGGTGGGGGGAGGCTGGGATGGGAGAAATAGACAAAAAAAACTGTACTTGAAAAATAACTAAAGAAAGAAAAGCTTAAAAAAAAGAAAAAATATATTTTAAAAAAAGGAGTAGGAATAAAAGGTCTTACTGCCCTTAAAAAAAAAGTGGCCACAGCAAGTTTTGTCTACTTCTGGAGTTGGTCATTATTCTGAATCGTGTATGGTGACCTGTCCCACAGGGCCACCCAGAGAGTGCCTGCTGCGTCCCCATCTGCCCACAGTATTAGTGCCAGCACCCCTGACCGGACCCGGTTTCCCCGGGGCAGCTCGAGCCGAAGCACCTTCCACGGGGAGCAGCTCCGGGAGCGGCGCAGCACCGCCTACGCCGGCCCGCCCGCCTCGCCGTCCCACGAGACGGGGGCCTTTGCCCACGCCCGGCGGGGCACGTCCACGGGGATCATAAGCAAGATCACCTCCAGGTTCGTCCGCAGGTCAGTACCACCGCACGTCCCCGGGGCCTCAGGGCTTGTGAAGGGAATGCGTGTGTTTGATTATTTCGTCTCTGTAGTGATTTTGTGTTGTTAGAACTGCTCTTCTACAGACGTTTGCAGGAAGCGGTCAAGTCTCTTCCTTTTAGAGAAAGAAGGAAAATGGACAAAATGAGAATTTAAAATTTTTCTAGCGTGAGAAGGGCAAAACCTGACATCAAAATGTGTTTTAAACAAAAAGGCTCTCTCCCCTGCTTAAAAGCCTGGATTTAAGGAAAGCAATTATGTAGTTTACATTCATCCTTTAAATATTTTTTATCTTCAGAATACTTTGAAATTTCTCACTAATAACATTCCCTTTTTTTCCTCCCTTGAAAAAAGTCAATACACTACAACCGCATAGATTACTGATGAAATTTCACATCACAAAATCTGAACCTCAGAACACGGTCAAGACACGTGAACGGCAAACTTCTAATCTAATAAAACAGTAAGGTTGTGCTCTTCTCCTGAAAGCAGTCATGCAGGTGCAGTACCCACAGATGACACAAGTTGGTGAACACAGCGCAGGTGGATGCAAATGCTGTCTGTTATTAGGTCCCCCTGAAAGCCTTCCAAAGTCCTGTGAGTGCAAAGCACGGGGCTGGAGCCCGGCAGGATCCAGACACGAGTGAGGCAGCATTCGTTTCCTCCAGATTCGTACCAACCAGGAAAAAAAAAAGGCCTGCAGACCATTAGCCATGGCCTTCAGCAGAATGGGTATGAGGTGGGCGTGCGGGCGCCATGCTGGGGTGTCCAGAGAAAGGCACACCATTCTGCTCAGGGAGAAAGTTAAGGCTCCAGACCATATAGTAAGAAATTATGAGTGTAAAATTACTACACTCGTTTTCAAAAATGTTAGTTAAATACTTCATCTTTAGTGTTACTAGTGTTCGTAGGGTTTCAGTGAATGGGTGCAAGAGAGGAGGTGATCTCAGTCTCGTGCCTGTTCCTGGAGCTTTATGGACTCAGGTGATGGGTCAGTTTGCCCAGGATCACATGGCAGAATTTCAATATTGAAACACTCAAATGCAACATCCATTTCTAACCAGATCAATCAGTGATTTTTGTGCCATTCGGGCCGTCCCCTGGTAACATGACAGCTTGCTAGAGAAAGAGCTAGAAGCTCAGCGACAGAGTCGGCAGCACAGACAGAGTGCGGGGTGACCATCTGCGGAGCCCCAATGAGAATATCAGTTGTTTCTGTTGCTGGAATATGGCTGACTGTTCAGAGGCATTTTTAAAAGCCAGTACTTCCTCATAGTTAAGCCAGGATCAGTTGGGAAGTGCAAATGAAATAGATTTTGAGTTTAATGCTTCATTAGTAATCGTACATTGAGCATCGTACAAAATGTTTAACTTTGCAGTACAAATGTGGATTCTAGAGAGAACGCAGCAAGGAGCGGTGGACTAGAATTCGGGACAGTGTCAGGGCACTGAAGTGCTCAGAGAGCTGGGAGGTTAGGATAGAGGATCGCCATACAGTCATATCACAGATAGGTGAAGACCTACTGCGTGCTCAGCCCTCCAGATGCTACTGATCAGCAGTGAGACTGACATGCTCCCTCCCTCCCTGTGAGCAACTTGCTGTCTCACAGCATTCCACAGTGGAAACATTTTTCTCACTCGGCTTCTGGTTTTCCTCCTGCCTCTCAAACAAGCTGATTCTTCCCAGGCTCCTCTGTGGCTCATTGTCAGGTCCCCTGGCTTTACCTCTTGACCTCTAATATCAGGGCTCATCATCACTGGACTGGTTGTCTTCTCTGGTCCTGCTCAGTCTCTTGGGGATCCCGTTCAGGCCCACGGCACTGCATTCCATCTGCCAAATGTGTGTGTTTAGCCCAGATCTCTCCTCTGAACTACAGACCCATCTATCCAGTCACGTACTTAGCCTCTCCACTGGGATCTATAATAGACTCTCAAACAGAACTCGTCCCAAAAGCCACCTGCCTCTCCTCTTCCCCCAGCCTGTCCCTCCTCCTTGCCCCACCTTGTAGGAGACTGCAACACCATCCTGCCAGTTGCTTAGGCCATGAGCCTTGACTTGGCCTTGACTCTGTCTCAAACGCACATTGACTCCATCAGCAGAGCGTGTTGGTGCTGCTGCACAGTATTTCCAGAAGTTTAGTCTAGCGCCTCCTACCTAACAGGTCTCCTAGCTCCTGCCCTCCCCTCCTGTTCTGTTTTCAAAGATGTAAGGCCAAGACTGGAAGCCCTCTGCTCATTTTCAGGTTGCTCAGAATACAACTCAAAGCCCTGAGGGTGGCCTCCCTTTTCTGCTCTGACTTCTCACCTGGGCCCGCTCTTTGCTTGCTAAGTCTGCACCAGCCACAAGGGCCACTGACTATCCTCAAACACAGCTGTTCCTTCTACCTGCAGTCCCCTCCCCCTGATACCTGCAGGGCTGGCTTCGTCTGCACCCACTCCAGGTCCTTGCTGCAATGCCTCTTCCCCAGTGAGGCCTTCTCCACCCACCCTGTTCAAAATCACAGTCCCTTCCTCCCAGCGCTGCGGCTGTCCCCTGCTGTATTCCTCTTCGTAGCACCAGTGCTCCCTGAAGTGATAGATCCGCTTTATTTATTTGTTCACTGTCTGTCTCTCCCAGAAGATGAGCTCCAGGAGAACAGGGCCTTGTCTCTTTGCTTTCCTTTATGCCAAATCTTCTGCTGCCTACCGCAACACATAATATGGTATTCGATACATGTTACTGAATGAATGGGTGAATACTGTGGAAGGCGATTTAAAAAGCACATGAAAAAATAAGGTTATAGTAAATTCTAGTAAATGCTTAAAGGAGGCAGGCTCTGAAATGGAGGATAAGGTTGAGGGACTAAAAGTAAGTGTTCGGAGCCCCCGCTGATGTGAGCTGGCATAAAAGTTCCTGTAGTTCCACAATGCTCTTGAATTGTGAACTCTGTCCTTTAGTAGAAATTTGGGGGGCTCTGCCATCCTTTGTTAGCAGTTTGGTAGGGTTTTTCGGTGTCTTTATTGTACACATTACCATCCGTTCTGGATTCGGTTAGAGAAGAGAAAAATTCTCAGTTCTCCTCCAAGGTCCCGCATCTCTGTGTGACGGCCAGCTTCGGCTTTGCACTGTGTGTCTGGGTTCACTGCAGTGTGCGAGGTCTGCCCTTCTGTCGTGTTTCGTAGCTGGAGATTGGGCCGTGCCCTCTGCCACCAGTGGTTTGGTGCAGGAAGACCATCAAAGCATTGTTTTCAGTCCCAGGAATGAATCCGCCACGTCCTGTAGCAAGTGACAGACATCCAGTTGTTCTTGCTGCATTCACAGCACATGGAACGTTGGGAGTGGAAGGCTGGAGGCTGGCAGATTAGAAACTAGAGAATTTCTCAAGGTTCAGAATGTAGTCTAGCCTTAGTATTTCATATTCTCAACTCATCTCTCAGGTTATCCATTCTTCCCACTTGTCCCTTCTTCTTAAGTCCATTATGGGCTCAAGTCCTATTCCTCTCTCTGTTCCTTCTGCCCTTTTCACTTCCCTGTGTCTCAGGCCTGAAAAGGGGACCCACATGCTGACACCTTTGTGTGACCCCTGAGGACAGAGTATGCCCGGGGCCAGGACTGACTCAGAGTACGACTAGGGAGCCGAGAGAGCTCACAAACTTTGGGACCAAACAAGTGGATGTGCCACTAAATGATTAAAAAGATGAAGAAGTGGGGCTTTTTATTAGGGAAAAAATAAAGGAATTTGGGTTGCTAAGCTTTAAGAAGGGAAGAATGAAGACTAATTGAAAGTTCATCATTCATGTACTCAGACACTGTTATTACAAAGAGCCAGCCAGATAGTGGTTCTTCTTGGCCAGTAAGAAGACTGTTCACTCAAATAACCACAGGAGAAAGTTGGTTTCTGGTCTTAGGAAAGTGATTTACTCTAGAATCATCTATCAAGGAAGGATGTACATGTATTATTTCAACAATCTGTAAAATAGCCTTTAGACTATTTAAATAGCCATTTGCTTTGGGTAGGTTCTAGATAACTACTCTGTAGGCTGGATTATATCACCCCTGATGAATTTTTTTTACCCCTAGCTCACTCGTACATAGAGAATAAGCTGATTAATTATTTGACCCCATGTTGCTGTGTATACAGTCTTCAGCTTCCTCAAACATTAGGTGTTGGAGAGCCATCGGCACTTCAGGTGCCATTACCGAGCCAGCCCTGCTCTCTGCCTCCCCAGCTGCCCCACCATGGCTCCTCCCTACAGCTGCCTTCCTGGACTATTTGAGATCATTGCCAAGGGCAGAAGTTCTTCCAGTCGCTGTTCCTGGTGTTGCTGGTGGCATCTGGGAAAGGCAGGAACACAGGAAGACTGTGACAGGCCAGTTGCTCTGGCCCCAGCCATAGCCTGGGGACGTCCCACACTAGGAATTGGTTTCTGCTCACAGCGATTTGTCAGGCAAAACAGAAAGAGGACAATAGCTCAGGGAGACATAGGTCCCTTCCTGGTAAAGGAGTTGTGCTTGGCAGCACGAATCAACAGCGTGACTCTTGCCAAGTCAGCGGACGGCCCTTCCCTGGGGATCAATCAGCACAACCCCATGCTCCCAAACACGGACATCGCACATAGCGCCCACTCAAAACATGTCTTATTTGTGTCCCTGCGCTGTCGTAAACGTAGGTGTGTGCAGGGGAGATTGACTTTTCTGTGTCTCAATGAAAATGGCAGGTACGAAAAATAGGAAGTTATGAAACCGCATTTGAATGTGAGGATACATCTTTTATCCTTTCTAATTCAGACAGGAAAACGATTTTTACACAGTGTGTTTGTCAAGAAAGGCTTGTAGGTAAAGACCCTGGGAAGCAAAAGACAGTCATAGCTTTTAAAAATTTATTTATTTTGAAAAGATGTACTTTTAACCACCAGGTAAGGTTTCAGAGCTTGATGGATGGACATGTTTTATAAATTTGCAGGGAAGGAAAGGGGCACCCATTTTCTCCTTACTGCAGTCATTTCATGCATTTCGGAGATGATTAAAACACGAACAGTGACTTCAAGGTTCAAGTTTATCATTTTCCCCAGCTATCTCTTAGTATTTTTCTATGATAAGCCATCTCTTCAAATATTCAAACTGGTTTAGAACCTGATACTTCTGTGTTGATATTTAATTACCTTTGAAAATGACAGAGTAGCTAAAATTTGGGTAGACTTTAGAAATGTTAATCACGTTCAACAAAAGGACAATTAGTCGAGTTTTCTGGTTTTATTTCACAGGTGGATACCCAGGTAAGATGAATGTTTCTGTTTAAGATTAAGTTCATGTTTTGAGACTCATCTGTTTGGAGAGGCTGTTTGTTTACTTTATCATGTGCATGAAGCTTTGGTGTAACTTCTGAAGTAAGTTAATTGCTTATTTAAAAACTGGTATTCATTTTAAGAAACACTGATTATGTGTGATGAGCTTTATTTCTAACTGCAAGGTTCATGTATATGTCTTCTAAATTGAGCGACTACTAGAATTCTGTTTCAAAACAAATGGGAACTTGAATCTTGCTGTTGATCATCCTTAAATAGTTTTAGTGGGAGATTGAACTCAATGAAACCAAAAGACAAATTATAACATGGAAATCATATCTGAGAATTGGAAGATCACATTAAAAAAAAATCCTAACCCATTACCTAGCATCTCCTCTGTGACAATACCCAGTAGACGCTCAATAAGTGACGGTCAAGTGTGGTGATGTTAAAAAACAGGAGACGTCGTGTTAGACCGACTAGTATGGAAAATGGTCGCGATAGACGTTGTGCATAACAAGTTAATTTTAAAGTCCTTTTAGATGTAGGTTTTCTCAATCTCTTTTTCCCTCTCATCATTAAATCTCAACCTTCACTTTGTTTTGAGGGACCCAAGCGAAGGCGAAGCCAGTGGCAGAACAGACACCTCCAGGTGAGGAGCCACTATTAACCCTTCGCTGCACGGTCCCCGTGTGCGCAGATGTGCCCTTGAAAGACCGACAGCACTTAACACGCCCGAACAGAGCTAATAACTAGCTAGTATGTGCCTTTTCGATTTTCGTATCGGGACGGGTTTTCCTCATGTTGCCTAGCGCTGGGTTACATGCAAGTTCATGAACTGTAAGTTTGTACTTTCTAAACGTTACTTTGAATTGTATGCTTTGTAGAGAAATAGCCTTTCTGTCCTGTAATAATAGATGCGTTGGCAAAAGAATGAAGAGATAAAAATGTATCATTCCCTTTCTCACTAAAACGTTGTAACTGAAATTAGTCTTAAATAACCCAGAATACCGGGGTACCTGAGCAGGCAGGCAGAGTGGATATTGGTAATACATTTTAGGTGAGTATTCGGTGATGGACTGACCACATTTGGAAATGCTCACCCTGCTACATTTACGGGGTTTGTTGACATGGAATGCTGGTCGTGTGTTGGATCTTGTGTGATGGGTCTCCAACTTGAGCACAGTTGAACTTGATAAAGCAGATGGCTGAGCCGCATCCCCGTGGTTTGTGATGGGCAGCCTGGGGGGTCTGGGGCCACGTTAATAACAGGCTACTGCTTGTGTTTGTATGTACAAGGGGGAAATTTAAGAAACAGGACATGCAGTTACTTTGCATGCAGAGAGATGCCCTGGTTCCTTCTGGAATGGTTTGTGACAACTGAACACAAGCCTCAAATTTTAATTTCTACTTTTTGACATGACTTGACATGTAAAACGCCATGAGCTTTGGGAGAGCTTTACAGAGCGTTCCCACGTGGTTAGCTCTCCCTACGGACTGAGCTGCGTTTATGCTTCATCACAGCAGCTGGAGTGTCTCTGTGCTGAGTCGGGTGCCCGAGTCACACTGTGGAAGGGAGCCAGCGGCAGGCAGGACAGATATTTGTAACTCATTTCTGCCTGTGAAATAAACACGAAGGACTTCTGTGGTTGGCCCCTCTCTCCCTGAGCATCACTCTCCGCCCCCCTCCTTGGGTCTCCTCCTCTCTCTTTTCTAAATTTCCCCCTGTGGCGTGGCTGCTAAGATTGTGGTTCATTTGCACGCATCCTATCCTTTTAATGTGACTACTTGTCCCTTATGTTTTTTGAACGAACATATTGACTCCCTCCTGTCTCTCAACTTGCTCACCATTTAATCCACACAGCCATCGGGAGAAAAGTAGCCCATTTTGCAGAAGAAGCAGTGAGGAGCACAGGAGGGACCAGTTTTAATGAGGTTCTGTCACCGCAGACAGATGGCAGGCATGACTGTGTATGACGGCCAGGCTCCTGAGCCCAGACCGTGGGTCCCTCCCGTAGCTCTGTGGCTTCAGGGAAGCGATGCAAACCCTGGGCCCCCAATTCCTCCCTCAGACCGCCTCCCAGGGTTGTTATGAGAGGTGAACAAGGAAATAACCCAGTTCCTGGCACTGAGTAAGTGCTCAGTGAATGTTAGATGCTGTGGTCACTATCAGCATTTCCGGGAGCTTTCTGCAATTAATGTTGTCATCAGCGATGCCTCTGAGCTACATATAGAAAAACATCTTGTGTGTGCCTGTGGTCACCAGGTGTCCTTGGTGGAATACAAGGTCAATCAGACTTAGAATAGGACACTCAATTTCTAGCCTTTCTTTTAGTTCATTAGCCACATGACCATAAAAAGCTAATTTACGTTTCCTAGCCATCAGTTTTGTTTTTAAAGTGAGTGTGGGATCAGGTGACCTTTCGGGTCCCTGCCAGCCCTTGCATGACGACTCCAGGACGGCGTTGTACCGGTGGTCCTGATAAGTGACCCTGGCTGGACCTGCACTCCCAGGACCTGTGGCTGAGAGTCAGGGAGGAAAGACAGTGAGACGGAAGACATCTGAATACACACTCTCCATAGTCAGCTATTCGTCTTTGGAGATGTACTTCCTCTACTTCTCTCCTTCCTCATTTCTTCAGGCCTGCATTTAAGAGCTTTAAGAGCTCACACCTAGGATTGGGGGGGAGAACAAGGAAACATGTACCCATGAAAATTCATATATAAACATATACCCAAGTATACATTATAGGATACTATGGATATTAAATGTTTTAAAAATATACATACAGTAGATTATAAACCCCTTTCAAAGCGTTTCATTTCTTTAAATCACATTTACGTGAGATTGGTGAACCAGTTCAAGTTTTAACATCTACATTTGAGTAATTGCTCATTAAATTTAATTACAGGGTCTTCTGAATCATAAAATCTTAATTGTGCCTTTATGTGATTATGTGAAATAGGTTCTCAGGTTCTGTATTATTTGTGGGAGGAAAACTCGGCAAGGCTGATGCATTTAAGAAATATGTGTTCTCATCCACTGTGCCAGAAGAACAGCCCGACCAGACTGTAGGTTCAGGAACAGTGAGGGGGGCGGTGCATCTACGGCAGTGACAAGTAGGCCAGTCGTAGGTGGAGAGGGGCTGGGGCTACGGCTGGGGCTTGGGGTGAGGTCGCGTGGAGCCTTGGAGGTCATTTTAAGGGTGTCTGCAGCAGAACACTGACCCCACGAGAAGCCCGATGTCTACACCCCTGTGTGTGGTGCAGCCTCATCGCAATGCAACCTTTTGTTTTTCAGCCTTACCAGGTATAAATGACCTCTCTGTAGCAGTTACTGCTACACTGTCCCCAGTCTTTCTCCTACCTAAAAACGATAGAAAAGGGGGAAACTTTTCTTTATATTTCAAAAGTGTGTATTTACAAGCAGAATGCTAGTGGGCTTTTTGTGTGTGTTGCAAATGCACAGAAAATGGAGAATCCACTTTTGCAAACTTAAAAAAAAAATATACAGAGACCCGAAGAAGTATTAAGTTCTTCACTTAGGGCTGCAAACTTGTTTCCCACAAACAAATACAGTTAAGAAAACATGCTCTTTTTAAAAATTGTTAAAATTTAATTGTTGTTCAAGTATAGTTTTCTTTCTGTCTTTTACTCCCATCCCAGCCCACCCCCCACCCCAGAGAAAACATGCTCTGTTAGATGGAAGATTTTATTAATGAAAATGAAAACAGATGGTGTCCTGGGGTCTGTTTTTGTATTAGCAAGAGGCCGTAAACCTTTGTATCTGCCTGAAGGTAGTCTGCAAATTAGGTCGCTTGTTTAAGCGCTGCATGATAACCACTGAGAGTACACCCGAGTCTCTACTTTGCTGAGTGGAATTCTTGTTTGCCTTCTTTTCCCCTGCGCCCCCCCTTCCAGAAGCACATCAGGGGAACCGAAAGAAAGAGACAGGGAAGAAGGGAAAGACGCCAAGCCACGTTCCTTGCGCTTCACCTGGAGCATGAAGACCACCAGCTCCATGGACCCCAATGACATGATGCGAGAGATCCGCAAAGTGCTGGATGCCAACAACTGTGATTATGAACAGAAAGAGAGGTTCTTGCTCTTCTGCGTGCACGGAGACGCCCGGCAGGACAGCCTGGTGCAGTGGGAGATGGAAGTCTGCAAACTGCCACGGCTGTCCCTGAACGGGGTCCGCTTCAAGAGAATATCAGGAACGTCTATTGCCTTTAAGAACATTGCATCTAAAATAGCAAATGAGCTCAAACTGTAAAGAAGCTCAGATTTGCAGGATCAGGGAAGATACATCCGTATGTGGTACAGATTTTGAATGTACTGGTAACGCCCAACGTCATTGGCCTGTGAATCCCCCCCCAATGTAGAATTTGCCCTTAATGCAATAAGGTTATACATAGTTATGAACTGTAAAATTAAAGTCAATATGAACTATAATAAATATCTGTAGGTACAAAAAGTAGGTTCACATGTACAGGTAAGTATATTGTGTATTTCTGTTCATTTTCTGTTCATAGAGTTGTATAATAAAACAGATGATTGCTTAAAAACTTGTATAGTTGTCTAGATTTCTGCACATAAATGTACCTTTGATGCTTTGAGTTGAAAGTATTCTTCCCTGTTATTGACATTCAGGTGAGTTTTTTCAATTCTTACCTCCATCATGCGATTTTGAAAATTGTGTCCAGAATTAAGAGTGCACAGAAATAGTCTTTATGATCATAGCACGGACTTTCAAAATTGATTTTCAAATCATATTTAAATTAAAAACAGAAGCCGATGAATAGATCGGCTTTATTACACACAGAATTATTTCTGCTTATCTTTGCTCTTCTCCTTGTTACCAGACAAGATTTTAGTAGGGAAGATACGCAATGTTTACAGTGTTGGCACTTAAGACATTTTAAAAGAAAGTACATGAAAACAAATTACAGCTTTGCCTTGAGCTAGCTAAGAAGCACTGGGGGTCGGGGGGAGTGAAACCTACATCCAGTTTCTTTTGAACTTGAACGTGTTTTCTGACCCCCCTGCTAACTGTAGCAGCAAAATAAAAAAGAATCAATTCTCTATTTGGCTATGATCATGTACACTGTCACTTCCGTTCACTGACACCTCGGTGTCATCGTGGGAAAAGAACAATATCAGGACCGTTTCATAGCACACACTCATCTTGACAGTGCTGGTCAGTCCAGCAGTTAGGAAATCATGTCCCCTCAGGAATCAGCTGGCCTTGGGAAGGTTCTCCTCTTCCTCCTCCCATCCTCTTCATCCACGCCCACCCCAGTCATATCTGTAAGTACTTCAGAGACGGTTGAGCAAAACGTAACTATTTATAACAGTATATACGGTTGGTTAATGCTTACGTGATTGGTTCCCATGCAACCTGTTTGTTTTGACTATTTTGCCAGATCTCCTGTGTTTATCCCCTGTATTTATTTATGCCTCTACGGTGCAGCTTTGTAATTGGGCGTTTGCCCGCTTTCCTCTCAGAATTAGTGATCTTTGCGATGTAAAGCCACTAGTAAAGGTACATTTTAATACTTGGTATTTTATGCTGAACTAGCCTCGGAAGCTGGCTGTGCCATGTTATTTAACGTCGTAATTACTGTAATATCTACATACGGGCCTCATCTGCACACTCCTGGGAAATAGAAAGTGTACTCAAATACTACCCGTGTAAAGAAAGCTGAAGCTGTGGTGACTCCCATGATTCCGGCGGAGAACTCTCGGTGTAGGTGCCGGGTCGTTCCCAGGGCTTCCAGACGAGGGGGGATCTTGCGTTCTGTACTCTGCTGTGACGTTGCGCTCTCCTGTACCCGTTCTGTCCACAAACAAAGTGTCGTTTTGCCTTGGCAGAGGGTGGTGTTTGGAAAACAAGAACAACTGTGTAGCCCCCTTTTCCCCGAGTGTTCATCCTCAAAACTTGATGCAAATCTCACTCTCACTGGTGCACACTGAAATTTTACTTGAACCGTTCTCATAATAAAGTGCTTGTCTGTTGCTCTTTATCAGAATGCGAATTACCTGTTTTCTGCTACAAAGGTGTTCTCTCTATGGGGAGTTTATGTTGCACATTCTAAATTTAGCTGGCAGCGGGTGAAGTTACATAGGTTTTCAGGATGTCGTCATGACAAAAAAAATGTTCATCTTTTTGGAGGAGTTCCTCTCTTTGAGGTTGTTTTATAAAAACAGACATCGTGCCTTTTCCAAGGTAGAAGCTGGTTGTTTTTTTTTTTACCTGTGCTCACTCAATCAACTCTTCAGAGTTTGTGGCATGGAAATTTACTTCAATATTTTTTATGAACTAAAAATGAAATCTTGATAGTCGTTGTAGATTTCCGGGTTTATATATTCACACCAGCATATAAGTGTTCTTGAAGATTTAAAAGAATTTTATAATACGTTTACAGAAATTCCAGTTTATGTTCACTGGCTGTGTGACATCAGGATGTCCTGGGTCTCTGTTTAAATATTATTTGAGGGGCAATTAGGAGGCGCAAATAAATGGAAAGATGTTCCATGTACATGAATTGGAAGAATTAATATTGTCAAAAGGTCCATACTGCCCCAGGTGACCCAATGAGTCGATGCAATCTCTGTCAGAATTCCAATGGCATTTTTTTACGGAAATAGAAAAAGCAATTTGAACATAGAATGGAACCACAAAAGACCTAAGTAGCTAAAACAGTTCAGAAAGAAGAACAAAGCTGGAGGCAACACACACCTGGATTTCAGGCTATATTACAAAGCAATAGTGATCAAAACAGTCTGGTACTGGAATGAAAACAGACACATGTATCAACGGAACAGAATAGACAGCCCAGTAATAAACCCATGCACTCATGGTCAATTGATTTTTTGACCGGAATACATGGGGGAGACAGGACAGTCTTCTCAGTAAATGGTGTTGACAGCCACACGCGCAAGCATGAAAGTAGACCTCTACCTTACACACCACACACACACACACACACATCTATGCAAAAAGGACAAAAGGACCTGAAACTAAAACTCTTGGAGAAACCAAACAGAGGTAAGCTCCTTAACATTGGTCTTGACAATGATACTCTGAATTTGACACCAAAAGCAAAGGAAACAAAAGCCAAAATAAATCAGTGGGACCACATCAACCTGAAACGTTTCTGCCCCGCAGAGGAAACTATCAACAAAATGAAAGGTCAATCTATAGACGGGAGCAAATACTGCCAAGCACAGACCTGAAAAAGAGGGTCCTGTCCAAAATATACAAGGAACTCCTTTTGCTCAACAGCACATAACATAACCCGATTTAAAAATGGGCTCAGGACTCGCATACGTCTTTTCAAAGAAGGCATGGAAATGGCCAACAGGTACATGAACATCACTAATCATCAGGGAAATGCAAATCAAAACCTCAGTGAGATACCACCTCCTATCGTTCGAATGACTCATCAAAAAAGAAGAGAGAACAAGTGCTTACAGGAATGGGGAGAAAGGCGATCCCTGTGCCCTGCTGCTGAGAATGTAAAGTGGTGCAGACTCTCGAGAAAACTGTTTCTGTCCTCAAGAAACGAGAAATAGACCTACCATATGCTCTAGCAATCCCACTTGTGGGTACATAGATCCAAAGGACACAAAATGATCACCTCAAAGGCAGATCTGCACCCCCGTGTTCACTGCAGTGTTACAATAGCCAAGCTAGGAAAACAAGCTGTGTCCAACAATGAATGAAGGAAGGAAGGATGTTGGCATTTATACATACAATGGAATATTAGTCAGCCTTAAAAGAAATCTTGCCATTGTGACAATGTGAATGAATCTGGGGGGCACTATGCTAAGTGAAATAAGCCAGGTAGACAACTAACTACTGCAGGGTATCACTTATATGTGAAATTAAAGAAAAAAAGAAAGGGTGGGGGTGAGGAGGGAAGAAAGTCAAACTCAGAGAAACAGAATCATGGTGTCCAGGGGCTGGGAGGTGGGGAAAAGAGGGAGAGGTTGGTAAAAGGGAACAAAGTTTTATATGTAAGATTAGTTAGATCTGGGGATCTAATGTACAGCGTGGCGACTGCCATTGGTAACACTGTGTTGTGTGACTGAGATTTGCTAAGAGAATAGATCCTGAGTGTTCTCACCAACAATAAAAGTATACCAGATGATGGATGTGTTCATTAACTCGTGGTAGGAATACTCTCATGAGGTATACATATAAATTGATGAAGTATAAGTATACTTATATGAAATCCTGGGTTGAAAACTTAAAATGGGTTATAACTTGTCCATTACATCTCAATAAAGCTGAAAAAAGGAAAAAATAGAATTACCATGTGCTCCAACAGTTCCACTCGTGGGCCCTACCATTTCTTAAAAACGTTTGGACACGTTGCAATTGTTGGTTCCTGTTATTACCAGACAGGACCACTGGGGGGCGGGGGGAGCAGGAAAAAACCCTGTTCAGGAAGCATTGCTGGATCCTACCACCCACAACAGTGGAAACCCCGGGACCTGTCTCTATGACAGACACCCCATCACCCCACAAAAGCACCCGCTCTCTTGGCCCGCCTTCCCGAGCCTGAATGAACAGCACGTCACGTTCTGTCTACTCACAGATAGGAGGATAACATCCTTCATCCCTTCAGGTGGATTTTACCGGTTGTTTTCCCTCCACGTGGGTTATTTAAATGTATTTCCATTTGGCTACAAAGGCACCTAGTTCCGTTCCATTGTATTCCTCATATCCAAATGTAGTGCTTTGATTCATTTTCTAGAACTCGATGAAATTCTGCCTTTTTTTTCATATTGTGCAAATCTGGCAGGGCCAAAAAACATGGAGATAATCAAAATGACTCTCTGAAATGATACAATCTTTTATAGCCCTGTTCTTTTTTCGCTGCACACTTATTTCTCTTAGAATGCTGGGATGGACCAATGGCTTTTCGTGGACTCAATTAGTTTCCATTGTTTGTTGTCATGGATGTGTTTACGGCAATCAAAATGTCACAGTTTTGTAACCAGAAAAGGGACCACCAGGGTCGGCTTTAGTTTATAAATTGATGGTTACATTAGTAAAGTCACAGATCTACAAATCTAGCTTCCAGTAACCTTTGGAATTCAACTCGTATATGATTCTATTGTATTTACAAATCCAGTGAAGTTTAGCCATCACTACAAGGGGCTTTTACCATTCACTTAATTTAATTATCTGAAATACTTTAAGTGGCTTTTACGGACTTTATATATATTTGATTTTTTTTCAAGTACTTCAACTACATTCAAGACCAATTCTTACAAATATAGTACATTAAACATTTTTGTATTTTCGATTTAACTTATTAATGAATTGATGATACATTTTAGAATTGTAACCACAAAGCTACTTTTTAATATTCTAGTATGCCAAAGTATAAATGTCTTATGTATTTATAGCAATACACAAATCATTCTTACATGTATCGTACATTTAAAAAATATTTAAATAGTACTGAAATAATAACTCGCTATTTTGTACTTAACTCTAAGTCGCCAAGAAGTCTAAGATATTTGCCCACAGACGGAATCAGGCCTCCTGAACAGGTGGACATCGCAGGCACAGAGGGTGCGCATCTCCTCGAATGGGCTGCCCCACCGCCTCGGTCCGATCCGCTTTTTCACAGAAGTCCAGCTGCGCTTAACACCACAGACACTGCGGTGCCTTTCTGACGATCTCCTTAGAAAAGGTGCCTGGAAAAGTATGGCCGTTTTTCAGGACTCTGGATAACTATTTTCTGGCGGCCTTCCCAGAAGCTTGTCACCGGTTTGCACCCCATGAATATTGCATTGTCACGACCATGTCGCTGTACCGTTGACAGCATTCAGTATGATCGTCTTGATCGTCATCGTCCCTGCCAGTTTGCACGTGGGCACGGGAAGTCCCATCATTTGAGGTTCATCTATTGCGTGTCAAGTGCGGTTGAACGTGGTTTAGAAATTCGTGGTGCATTGCCCTTTTCCGGTGTCCCCTTCGCCCACAAGGTGGGGACTTAGGGCGGGTGGGGCTGAGCGCACTGGCCACCTGGAGGCCGGGCCCCGTCGGAGCCGCGGCAACCCCGGGCCCCACTGCCAGGGGGCGCTGCGACCTCAAGTCCCCCGCCCCGTCCGGGCTGGGGCGGCGCCGTGGGCGGGGAGCAAAGGTTGGTGCCTTCACACCCCGAGTTTCGCCCGAGGGGCCACGGCGTCATGGCGGTGGGATCCAGGCTCCGGAGCAAGGCTGCCCGCAGCCTCCCGCGCCGCGGGCCCCGGGGGCAGGGGGTCGAGGAGGCCGCGGCGATCCTGGAGCACCTGGAGCTGGAAGACGAGGTGGCCGAGAGCGCAGCGAGCGCGGGGCGCCCGGGGGCCCGGAGCGCGCGGCGGGTGCACCTGGCCGTCCTCCCCGAGCCCTACGAGCCGCTGGAGGAGCCCGCTCCCGGCGACAAGCCCAAGAAGAAGTACCGGCGGAAGCTGAAGAAGTACGGCAAGGTAGGCCCCCGCCCACTGCCCTGCGGGTCGGCTGTGAGGGGCGCCGGGGGCCCGGGCTTCCCAATTGTCCCGAGGGAGCGCTGGAGTCCTGTCCCCAGCCTGTGACGGCGCTCAGCCTCTCTGAGCTCCCCCGGTGTCCCAGTCAGGCCCCACAACCACCCGCTGTCCAGCACTGAAGCCCCCAGACTGTTCTGTGTTCTGGAAGGTGAGGGGAAAGTTTCGGGGACAGAAACTGAAGCAGAGGTGTCTCTGGGCACCGGGCCACCTGCTACCCTGCTGCTGGCTAGTTAACGACAGTCCTAAGGGTCGCTCAGTACGGTGGCTCTCTTAGTCTTGGTGTGTCTTACACTCCCTTGTGTGTGGTGGGCAAGACAAAACTCAGTGCCCCCAGTTCACGGATGGGAACACTGAGGCCTGGGCATGGTCAGGTGACTTGTAGAAGGTGACCCAGTTGTAAAGTACTGAGTTGCAGCCCAGTTTATCTGTTTCCAGACACAGCAGAGAATTGTTACTGCCCTAAGTGTCCCCAAGGCTATTTTAAAGGCCTGGGAGGTCCCTATGTACACAAATATGCACAGTTATCCGTGTGTTCAAAGGTCTGTAGACACACTGCCATTTGCTTGCATTGGGGGTGTGGAAGTGGAGAGACAGACAGACAAGAAGAAAGAGATGTAGACGTGACTGTGGGATAAAAAGGACAGTTTTCTCCTCAGAGACCCGCCTGGAAGCATTTGAAGTTATGGCAGCCCGGCTCCCGGGGCTGGGCTCTGCCGCCCAGAAGAAAATCTCAAAATTAATTGTGTCGGGGCCAAAGGACAAGGGCCTCATCTGACTGATTGTCCCATTATCTGTGTCCTTGAGTGGCCCTTATCATACCTGAAAACAGCCAGTCTCCGTACCTGCAATGAACCTCTGTAAAGGTACGTCAGCAGCTTCGGGAGCGGTAGACAAGCTGTAAAACACATTAGCACAGCTGTAAAACACATGAATAAAAACGATAAGGCTGGGACCTGCCGGCTGAGTCATGCTAGGGCTGAGCATCCTTTCTCCTGGTCCCAGGTGAGCAGAGGGAAGCCAGCATCTGCCTCTCAGCAAAGGGTGAACCGGTCATGTGGAACTCTCAGCTCAGAGGCTGCCTCAGAAGATGCTTTCAGGGGTCCTTGTTATGCACCAGGCATTGTGCTAAAAACTAGGGACATAAAAATGGGTACGATGCAGCGGGGTCCTAGTGAATTCCACAGCCCCTCTACACATGGCTGGGGCTGGGTGGTCCAGAGCCCAGGCAGGTGGTCCTCAGAGATGAGGATGTAAAGTCGGGGAGATTTTCAAATCCATGGTGACACACCAACTGCACACAGAAGGATGAGTAAAGGTTTCACAGGTTAACCACAAGGTCCTACTTCACACCAGGATGGATGTTATCGACACACACACACACACATACATACACACACAACACAGAAAATACCAAGTGTTGTCGAGGATGTGGAGCAACTGGAATTCTTGTGAATTGCTTGTGGAAATGGTAAATGACGCAGGTGCTGCGGGAAACCATTTGGCAGTCCCTCGAAAAATTAAGTATAGATCTGCCACACGATGCAGTAATTCCACGTACAGGTGTGTACCCCAAAGGTTGGAGAACAGGTGACTAAACAAATGCACACACACTCATAGCAACAGTATCTACAATAGCCAGAAAGTAGAAGCAACCCAAGTGTTCATCAGCTGATCAATGAATAAACAAAATGTGGTGCATACATACAATGCAATATTATTTGGCTATAAAAAGAATGAGGCACTAATACATGGATAACACAGATGAACCTCTAAAACACTGCGCTAAGTGAAAGAAGCCAGACACACACAAGGTCACATGTGGCAGGTATTCACGATCCCATTTGTGTAAAAGATCCAGAATCGGTAAATCCAAGGAGGCAGATCACAGACTGGTGGTTGCCAAGGTCTGGGGGTGTGGGCAGGACAGCAGCTGTCTCATGGGTGTGGGTGTTCTTTGGGGGTGATGCAAATGCCCCGGAAGTAGATAGGAGTGCTGGGCACACAACACTGTGAATGTGCTCGATGCCACTGAATTGTCCACTTTACGGTGGTTACATTTTGGTGTGTGGATTTCACCTCCATTAAGGAAAAGGGAAAGAAATTCACCAGGTAGACAAGGGATGACCTTCAAGGGGGAGCGACCAGTGCAAGCAGAGACAAGGGTGTGTGAAAGCCCTAAAGGGTCACACACCAACTAGCTCAGCAGATGAGCCCAGGTGAGACAGCACTGTCACGCCAGAGTTGGTGCCCTTTCTGTTTTTCAAAAGAGCAGCTTCTCCTTTCGTTTTTCCCCCCTAAAGCAACCAAGAAGGTAACTGGTTCAGTTCCAACCTGGAGGAAGGAGATGATAGCTGACCCATCTTTGCTGAGAACACGAGACCAGCCACGGCTCAGCTAGAAATGTGGGCAGGGGATTTTCCCTGCTTTCATCACTTGGTGAAACGTCACCGTACTTGGGCCCAGCGGAATAGGGAGTGACCTGCAGACAGTTCCACATGACAGCCTTGTACTCCATAATGACGTTTCAGCAAACCACAGGTTGCGTAGACGATGGTGGTCCCATAAGATGATAACAGCTGAAAAAGTCACCTCGAGAGGTCCTAGCCGTGGTTACATTGTAGCACTGGAGGTCCCCAGAGATTGCTGCCTGTAAAAGTATTTTACTTACCACTGGGTAACAACCGCCGCAGTGTGCAGTACATCACACTCTGTGCAGGCTTGTAGCGGAGGTGTGCAGTAGGCTAGACCATGCAGGGTGTGCGAGTGCACGCTCGGATGTCTGCACAAGGGTGAGCTCCCCTAAGAATGCATGTTGCTCCCCTAAGAATACATGACGTATTTCCGTTGTTACCATGGAGGGCTGGCTTTTCCTTCAAGGAAGGGTGATTAAAATTCCCATTCGTGGAACTGCTCCACGCCTTCACCCAAGTCCCTTCCTGCTTCTATGTAAAGAAAATGGCCTTTGTAACCTATGAAAGGACTGGCTCGCACACCCACGCTTCCCTGTGGCCCCTCCCAGGGAGGTAGTGTGGGATGGTGTCCCCCGTTGATTTTAGGTATTCACAGGGTGAATTCATGGTTGCAGGACTGTTTTCTGGGCTCCGGGAGGGGGAAGGGAGGTGCTTGTGCTGTGCCCTCACCCCAGGGTGCCTGCCTCCTGCAGTGTGCACTGGTCACTGGTGGCATCTCCAAATCCTCACAAAAACCTTGGAGAACTGTGGACCTCACTTGGCAGCAAAGGAAGTTGATGCAAGTGAAGCTTGTTGTTCAGGGCTGCACAGCCAGAGAGCAGCAGAAGCAGTTGGGGTGAGGGGAGTAACCCCAAAACTTAGCTTAAGATAAGAGGTGACTTTCCTGGGCACCTCGGAGACCCACAGAAGAGGCGTGGATAAGGAAAGGGATTAAATTTTGTTAATTGAGCCGTTAGGAGAGAGGTGGAGAAGGAACACATAGGGTGTGGAACAGTCTTTAGCTCAAGAGGGAGACAAATGTCCCCATGTTCTGAGCAGCCGGTCAGGACTTGGGCCGTGAAGCCAGACTGCCCTGCCACCTTGGGCTGCGCTCACCTCTCTGCCTCAGTTTCCTCATCTGTCACAGGGGCCAATACTAGGGCTTTGGTGAGGGATACATGAGGGAACGTGCATGGCTGTCTTAGAGCCCATGTGGCAAGTGATGAGGGTCTCGCAGCTTTGGCGCAGGGGGTGGAGGAGAGGCCTCAGGGGCCTGTTTCTTTTCTGATCTGTTTTTCATGAGCTCTGACTCAGAAACCGTCAGCTTCTGTGGCCGACTGCCCGCCTCGGCTTTGTGCCTGAGTCCCGACAAAACGTCACAACCGAACCCTCCATATTTGTATTTCGGGGCGTGTGAGCTTTGCTGGGAGATGGTCTCTTCATCAGTGACCATAGACGCTGCGGGTCCTGACCACACACGTTTCCTCTCTCCCACTCTGGAGGCCAGAAGTCCAAAACCAGTCTCCCTGAGCTGCAGCCTTGGCTGGGCCACTTCCTTCTGGAAGCTCCGGGGGAGAACCCATTTCTTCGCCATTTCCAGCTTCCAGGGGCCCCTTCCCCCATCTTCACAGCCAGCGGCACAGCATCCGCAAACTCCTGTTCCTCTGCCTCATCTGACTCCCCTACATCCCTCTGATAAGGACCATGGTCCTTATGCAGAGTCTTATAGGGATATAAGGGATCCTTACAGCGATGGAGCCCGGCTGGATAATCCAGGGTAATCTCATCTCAAGACCTTTAATTTAATCACATCAGCAAAGTCCCTTTTCCATATAAGGGAACACATTCCCTTACTCTGGGAGTTAGGACAGGACACCTTCGGGGGCAGGGGGGTTGTTATTCCACCAGCCACACCCTCCCGTGTTCCCCCACGCCCCTCTGCCCCTCTGACATTATTTGGGTCGAAAGCTCTAGTCAGATCAGAGACCTCCCAATGTCTCTCAAATGCCACAAAAAAAGGCCGCGGATAGATGTTTTACATTTTTTTCCTCCCGTTTTCTCAGCTCTGCACTTTGACAGTGTTCCCGCTAATGAGCTATTTTAGTAGCTTTTCTTTTCTTCTAAGTGGCAAAGATGAAGTGACAAGCAGTTTTTCAAAATAGCAGGTTGAGGGAAATGGGGGTACAAGTACCCCAAATGTCGAGGTTAACTCGGGCTGCCTGCAACGCCAGCGGCATCACGGACACAGGGTGCTCTTGGCCATTAGACTTGTTCCCAGGGGACAATTCTGTGTTGTCGTCATTTCAAACAGGTAAGCAAAATTCTCCCGCTGAGCCTTACCACACCTTTGTAGACCTGTGTCTCTCGGCGACGTCACCCCTAACACACACACAGACGCATGCGCACACAGCCCAGGTTCTCATTGAGAAGCCGACTGGGCAGTGTCCCGAGGGGATCAATGCATACAGAACCCACTGATGTGACCTGGCTCTCCCCCACGGCTGCTCCTTTAGCCCCGGAGGGAGCAGGGGAGACACTCTAACCCCTTCTGAGTGCGGGGGACACAGTGTGACCTCCCCACCTTCGTCCCGTTGTCATGTGGACTGTCGTAGGGAAGTATACGCTTCAGAAACTTTCCTGAACAGACACGGATACATCTTATTATTAGCCCCATAAACCTAATTACTACGGAATAAAAAGAGGCAAATGATAGTTTACGACCAGATAAACTGCCCACCAGTGTGCCCGGCATCGTTCCAAGTGCTTTCGTGGTACAGGCCCATTTAGTCCTCTTAACAACTTAAGGAGGGGGTGGTTATTTCCTACTCCCATTTTATAGGTGTGGAAACTGAGGCCAAGCAAACTTAAGGCAGTAATGGAGCTGGAATTTAAGCCCAGACTGCAGCAGTGAATTACAAGGTTACACTCTGCCTTCATTAAGAAGGAAGTACAGCCCTGGCTGGTGGGGCTCAGTTGGTTGGAGTATCATCCCATAACTGAGAGGAAGTGGGTTTGATTCCCAGTCAGAGCACACATGTAGGTGGTGGGTTCGGTCCCAGGTCCGGGTGTGTATGATCCCCAGTCTGGGCACAGACTGGACGCAGCCAGCCGATGCTTCTCTCCCACATCGGTGTTAAGGACAGGACCTGAGATGATTCTTCAGGACTGAGCGTCAGCTCCTCCTCTTACCAGCTGTATGACCACAGATGAATTTAACTCCTCTGCACTGTCCGCTTGTTGAAGCCTCTTGGCCAAGGGCCGCCGGGAGCATATTGGTGCAGGAACATGGTAGCCATAGCAAGTTGGGTCCAGTTGCTCAGTGCAGCAACAGCGTGCCAGGGGGATCAGGACGTCTCTGAAAGTGGGGACCTCACGTGGAGAGTGAATAGTTGAGCCTCATGCAAGGGAGTTCTCAGCGTTCAGGAAATACTTGTCACTGCACGTGGACGAGACCACTTAAGGAGAGAGTATCGGCAAATAAGGAAAGGAAGAGAGGGAGGGAGGGGACCTGGGACTGAGTCCCGGATAACTCAGGACACAGGTTGGCAGAAGGGACAATCCAGTCAAGAAGGCTGAGCACCAGGTTGGGGGAAACTCAGGGACTAGGGCGTCAAAGAGGCAAAACGATTGTGCACGAAGCGTCCGAAGCTGCTGCGAGGTGGGGAGAGAAGGGCCGTTGGGTCGGGCAACGTGGCAGTGGCAGGTGGCCGTGGCCCAGCATCCTGCACGAGTGGAGTGGGAGGCCACAGGGAGGCCTATGTGAGGACCACTTTTCCCGGGGCTTTGGCGTGAAGGACAGCGGAGACCGGGCAGGATGTGGAGTCTAGATCATGGGAGGAAGAGGGTGACGATTCTGGAGAAGGAAAAGCCAGGGCCTGGGTGACAGAGGGCACTGAGAGCAAGTGTCACAGGAGTGGCCCTGGGGGACAAGAGCCGCTTTCTGCAGGGGAACACAGGCAAGGTGGGAGAGGCCAGGTCAGTGGTGGGAAGGTGAGAGAGTTCCTTGTAACCTTGACCTTTTCAGTGAGAGATAAAGTGGGGTCACCCACTGTGGGCGTGGAGACTGTGTGTGTGTGTTTGCTGGAGGTGGGGGGCCTGCGGAGACAGAAAAGGGTAAGAAGTATTACCTGGCAGAGAGGGAAGGTCGGCCCATTGGGCAGATAGCTAGGCGTGCCGGGCCGAGTTGGAAGTCCGAGCAAGGCTTGCGATTGTGATCAGGGATTTTAACCAAGTGACACCAGGGCACTTGGTCATTGGAGCTTCACAGGTCACAGGGCTGAGAGAGGGAGTGGGTGATGAGGTCCAGGTCACCTACATGAATGTGACATCATCGAGAATGATGAGGGACGTTGGGGATGAGGAGAGGGGGGTTGGGGCCAACCACACGGTCAGTGTTGGTCCGTTGGCAGTGGACGGACCTTTGCCGTTGTGGATTTGCGGCCTTGGGTGCCCCCGTCTGGCACCAAGTCCTGCAGAAGGCAGGCGGAGCGGGAGTGGAGGTCAGGAACGCATGGCCCGTCCGTGCCCTTCAGGAGTTTGTCACTGCGTCTGCAATCAGAGGGTTTAAAGAGACAAATGTGTGGCTGGGACAGGAACATGTCCCAGAGGTAGAGAGCAGACAGGGTGGGTTTCTGGATAAGGGGAATCAAGGAAAACCAGGCCCAGCCCTCAGGTGACCTGTTACGTAGCTGGGACAGAGAAGAGGCATCAGCTTTGGTTAAAAAGTAAAAAAATCCAGTCTGGTTTTTGTGGTAGCAGGGTCTTGGCTCTCTCCAGAATCTCTGAAGTATCTGGAAATGTGTTTGAGAGCACTGTGCACAGCAGTGACATCGGTCCTGAGCCCCCATATGTTCCTAGTGGGGGGCGGGGTCGGTGAGAGACAAACGTGGGAACTTGGTGACTTACTTGCTCGTTTGCCCTGGGAGAGTGCATCGCCCCGGAGCAGAAGTCACCTAACTGAACTGTTTGCTTCTGTCTTCATTCCTACAAACAGAACGTGGGGAAGGTCATCGTCAAAGGGTGCCGCTACATGGTCCTCGGCCTGCAGGGCTTCGCCGCGGCCTACGCCGCCCCGTTCGGAGTGGCCAGCAGCGTGGTGTCATTTGTCCGCTAGTGGCAGCTGCCCCCGGGGCAGATGCCTCCTGAACGATGGGAGCCGTGCAAATCCAGAAGCATTTCAGACTTGAAGCCACAAAACACTTGGAAGAACAAACTGTCTTTCTCTGTTGAATCGGACAACTGTTGTGAATGGGACATCTCTCCCATCTGCTGAGTGTTTTCACATTTCCTGGACACGGGGCGCTGTGACGGACAATCCCACAGAGGATGAGGCTGATGTTGCCTTTGGGGCCATGGTCAAGTTTGCTCACGCTGAAGACTGTGTGAACGGGAAGGCAAACCCCACCAGGGGTGAGCACTCTGAGTGGGCAGCAGAGTGGTGATCACGGTGGGGGGAAGAGGAATTATACCTGGAGAGAGATGACTTCAGACCTTCTCCCGGAAAGGTCACAGGCTGACTGGTACTCACAGCCCTTCCCAGCCTCAGTTCTGAAGGTGCCCAAGGAGCAGTTTGCTTCTGAAGTCATATGCCCCCACCTCCTCCTCCACCCTTTGTTACCAGGAGTTTAATTACAGGCTTGAGAAGAAGGAAGGAAGAAAACTCTCTTTGAAGGCTGACACTTTGAAGCTGTGTTGACAATGTGTCGTGACTGTTTAAAGTAGATAAAAGCTTGTCATTGTCACCTTTGTCTGACATGAATGTGCGGTGGGAGTGAGGAGAGGAAGAAGGGCAAGTTCAAGTGCAGGCTGCTTGGTGAGAAAGGTTGGGTCGGGGTGGGCTCCTGAGGCTGATGTGCCCGGTCCAGCCCAGTCTGGCCCAGACACATGTTGGAGCCTCGGCTCAGCATCCCTACACCAAGGCCACCGAAGGGTGCTTTGTGTTGGGTGCAAGGGAGGTACGACATCTGGAAATGAAAGTGTGTGATTTACAGAACGGACCAGGAAGTAGGAGACAGGTGCAAAGGAAGTAGAAATGGGACAAGAGGGCGGTTAGAGGAGAGAAGTGGAGGTACAGGACCCAGATCTGGGTTCTGAGTGTTGGGAATCTTCGGTGGGCTGGGACTTTAGCTCCAGGAGGGAGCCTGGGGCAGCTTGATGGCCAGAGGTGCTGTGGGTGCTGGGTGGACACCGTCTGCAGCCCATGAGCTCACATTGTCTGCCTTTGTAGCATCCTTTCCTCTTCTGTGCTGCCTGCCCTGACTGTGTCTCACCTGGATTCAAAGGTCAGGCTGAGCTGGTCCTCACACTCCCCCAGGATGAGCCATCGACTACCTTTGGACTATTGGACAGGAAGGTGGAAGAAAGAGGAAGCCCCTCATCCCTCGCCCTCTGCCAAGCCCCATGATTGGCCACTGTTCTGACTTTGTTTCCAGAATGTCCAAAAGCCCCCCCTAGTTATCGTTGACCAGTCTGTGGGGTCAGTGGCAGCACCCACCTGTTAGCCTTAGAAGTGTCCAGGCCATGCCAAGGAGGCCTCAATACTCACGTTTCACAAATCAAGCCCAACCAAGTGGCACTGGAGCGTGGAGAAGGTGGGAAGACAGACAGATGGACAGAAAAAGGAATGGGTGGAGGAGAAAGCTGTAGTGGTAGAGCTAGACTCAGCTTCCTGTCTCGGAGGCTCGTGGGGAGACAAAATTTGGATCCAGTTTCTGCATCATTAATATTTGTGAGGAAAAGAGAAAACAAATGTTCTTGTTTTAGCTCGAATGATGAAAGTTGATAATGGGACATTTTCACACATGTGAGATAATTATAGCTTGCCTGGCCACACTGGGAGTCGGGGGAAGGGAGATGTAGGGGGAAGAAGAAGTGAAGTATAGTTTAGTGGGAGTGCTGAGCCTGCTGCCCCTCCCCGGTACTGAGATGCTGAGCTGCCCCAGAGATGCCCACTGAGTTTCTGGGGGGATGAAAACGTCAGCCCAGGAAGGGACAAGACCTACTGAGACCCGTGTGAGGAGACCTTCTCCACCCTGCCCCCCATGTGGGAGACACCATCAGGCCAAGTTCATTTGGCTCTGAATTTCTTGAAGCCTGGTTAAGAATTAACCCAGAAATTTCAAAAGTCGAAGCCAGACAGGAATTGTCCTGGGAGCCAGATTCATGGGACAGACGATGAACCCCAGACCGAGGCTCAGCCTGAGTGGTCACTGACTGCAGGATGGGCCACCCGTGTTGCAGGTGACCTTGGAGGCTCTTCAATTTCGTCTCAACATCCAGGTGCACACCCTACTGAGCACTGAAATTTAAAGGTTTTTTTCTTCTTTTTTCTGTGTGTGTGATTTTGAGGCTTCTTTTGTATCCCTTCCTTGCCCAATGAGGTAAATAAAACCACAATTGGTTGAATTTTCTGTGTGTGAAGCTCTTTTGCCACCTCCCGTTCTAGCCTTGCCTTAGATGTCTGTGGTGTTCAGCCAACCCTGAGGACTTCACAGAGCAGGTGAAGGCCAGGCAAGAGACCTCCGCGGGACAAGCCAGGAGGGGCCCAGTCCTGGTCTGAGGCCCAGGGGCAGGGAGAGCGGCCCTGACTCACCTAGAACTCTGTTTGGGGGTTCCAGGTGGGGTCAGTTCCCAGCAGCCCCCCAGAAGAGGTTTTGGTGTGCAGGAGCCTCAGCTCCCCCTGTGTTAAGAATGGAAATTTCCACACCCCTCTGATTTGGAATGGGAGATTTTTCACTAGTAGCTTCTGAAGGAGGTACTGCTCTCCCCGAGCTGGGAAATGCTGGCCCCTAGGGACTGCTGCCCTCTTCAAGGGCCAGGGGGCGCCAAGGTGGGACCCAGGGCTCTGGCACCCCGCAACTCCCTCTAGAAGCTCGAATTGGGATAGGAATTCAACACCCCCAGGACTGGCAGTGCTTTTGTTCAAGGCGTTTCTCAGGTGACTCCTCTTGCAGAACATGTTGACCAGGCTCGAGAAACAAATGTGTGTGGTTCACAGCAGCCATAAAAATGAGGGCGGAAGTGCGGGCAGAGCCAGCGGGCGGCCCTTCCCGACAGGGCTCCGCATTCCAGAGTGAACTGCCTCCATCCAGAGCTGCTTTCTCCACCGCTTACTCTCCATCTGCAGTGGAGAGAAAGCTTGTGTCTCCTTTCACTGTCCTTCCTGAGGGAAATGTTTAGAATTACTGCCGAAGTAGAAAGTGTGAGATAACACTTTTTTTTTTTTTTTTGCAAGGGACTCACCCATGAGGAAAAACACTACAGGCGTTTATCTTTGTTTTTTTTTTTTTCACTTTTTAAAAATTGAATTTATTGGGGTGACATTGGTTAATAAAAGCATACAGGTCTCAGGCGTACATATCTCCAGCACATCTGCCGTCTGCACTTGGCCACTCCCCAACCAAACTCAAGTCTCTTCCCACCACCATTTATCCACCCTTTGCCCTCTTCCACTCCCCCCCCAAACCTCCTTTCCCTCTGGCAATCCCCTTACTGTGGTCTGTGTTTGTTTTCTGTTTTTGTTTGGGCTTCATCCCTTCCTCTTTTCACCCAGCCCCTACTCCACCGCCCTGCCCTCTGAGACGCAGCTCTCAGTCCTGTTCCCTGCTGTCTGTGCTCCTGCTTCTGTTTTGCGTGTGAGTTTGTTTGGTTCACTAAGTTGCACATATAAGTGAGATCGTACGGTATTTGTCTTTCTCTGACTGGCTTGCTTATCTTTCACCACTAAAAGGACCCTGAGTTGGGTGTCCTCGTCAGACCCACGCTCAGAGCTGGGAAACAGACGGCTGATGTTGTAGGTGATGAGTTGCTGATTTTGAGATCTTCAGACTTGAGGGGAAAAAAAGCCTGTAAGTTATTTACAAACTTTCTTTAGTATCATCATTTTTCCATACAAAATCAGGCTTGAATTTCTCTTTCAGTGTTGTCATGGCGATGCATCAGAGACTCCTTCATTTTTTTTTTCTTTCCTGTTCTGTTTGTTCACTTATTTCACTCGTTAGAGTCCACAGATAAGTGAAGTTTTGTCTTTCTTTGACTGGCTTATTTCTCTTAGCATGATATGCTCCAGGTCCATCCATGCTGTCGCCAATGACATGACCCCCTTCTCTTTCATGAGTAATAGGCCATTGTCTATTTGTACCACAACTTCTTTATTCATTCATCCGCTGATGGAAGCCTGGATTATTTAATCTTGTTATCAATAACAAGGCCATACCCAGAGTGTTCCAAAGAAGGAAGAAAACCTAAGAGTTCTTATGATAAAACAGACATTCTTGGGAAGACTCAGTCCCGTATTCTTAGCCTCGGAATCGGTCCAAGGCGTTCACCTTCCAGATGTCAGGTTGGCCTGGATAATGGATGTGCAGCAGTCTGGACACAGGAACGTTCCTTCCTTAGCCCTTCCAGGGCTAATCAGAGGTTTTACCTATAAGGTGTATGTATAGCTCCAGACATAACTGGCAAGTTCAAAAGTTTAAGTTCCCATGCTAGTTCAAGAGAACGTAGAATGATGTCCTCAGGCCTCAGCCTACCTATTTGATTCTAGTAACTTGCCAGTGTGACCACTGGGACTCTTTGATTTCCTCCCTCTTTCCTCCATAGATGCTGTTCTTATTCTCTGGGTTGCACGGGAAAGCTGGAGCGCAGGGAGGGCAGGGGGTTCCCCTCCGAGGCTCTGGCCCGGGCCTGTGGGACCAGCCCTCCACTGCGCTCTCCTGCTGGCTCCAGCCCCTCCCATTTCTGTTCCCCACCCCCAGGCCCCGTTAGTGCAGGGACTGAGGAAGAGGGAAGCTGAGTGTGGAATGGCATCCAGCCGCATTCTTGGTTCCAGTATGGGATCTGAGTACTTAGAAACGCTCCAGAAAAAAAAAGAGGTGAGGTGCTTACCAGCCCATCATACTTTGGATGTTTGAGATGCCGAGACTGCTGAGCTGCTGATTTGACAAGATCAAGGTGTGAGGGGAGGACACAGGCCTGAGCTGGGGAAGGGACCTGTGACCCCCGAGCCGCTGCACTCGAATTTATTTTGACACACGTCCTTGGTGTGATTCCTCTGCCCGTTGACTGGTGACTGTGTCCCAAGGGGCCACCTCTCACCCCAGCACCCAGGAGCCTCAAGCCAAGGCCCCAAGGCGAGCAGGAAGCCACCCTGGGTGATAGGGAGGGTGCCGGCATACCCTGGCGTCAACTCCTCCGGCCCTGTGGCTGGGACCACGTTCCCCAAGCCCTTCGGATTTCAGGTCTGGCTTGGTTTCGTGTGCACAGTAAATAGGACCTGCTCCCCCGGGGTTATTTGGAAGATTATATATGGATTGCACTAAAAGCCCAGCAGGGGGGTATCAAGAGCCCTTCTTCCGCAGCTGCACAGTAGCTGAAAGTCAAGTCTTTCTTTGCCCCTGGGAGAGCAGGGTGTGGGAGAGAGAGGGAGGACTGGACCAGGCAGAGGTGCGGGTGGGGGAGGAGAGGAGATATAACAGGCTCACCATCCCCCATGGACGCTTTTCCCTCTTCCCCTAATTCACCCCGTACCTGCTGAGAGTGGCTTCCAGGTTCAGGGTCAGGGTAATAACCGCACTTGTACCTTTGTTGCAGGGGAGCTGGGGCAGGGGGAGGGGCTGGAGAGCAGCAGGGAGGGGGCATCCAGGTGGCAGAGAGGACTGAGGATGAAGAGGTTAGCCCCGGGGCTTGGCTGGAGGGTCAGGAAAGGGTTTGTAGCTTTTTGTCTCTTCCAAAGGGCTCTGAACTGTTACCCTGAACTCAGGTTGCTGGGGCGGCTGGTTTCCCAGCACCTGAAGTGTCTCATCTGTGACATAGGGATTCAGACGTCCTGTCCATTTGCTGGTGCACAGAATGTCCAGAGGACCAACAGGCAGCCTGAGGACCAAAGGGAAGGCCCCGGGGTCTCCTGGGAGGGCTGACAGGGGGCTCAGCCCTCACTCCCTGCAAACATGCGGGGGACCTGCTGACTCCACCATAACAGCAGTGACATCCAGGAGGGCCCATCTGCCCTTCCTTTAATCACCCCAGGCACCTCAATCTGTGCTCATTCATTTACTCACCAGATCAGTTGGGATCCCCTGCCCTGGAGCCCCACTGAGGCCAGGCCCTGAGACTTTCGTAGGGGGCAGGGCAGGGCTGCCCCGCCTGGTGGGGAGTCGAGAACCAACTTCTGCCAACACAGGACAGAGAGGGAAGGGCTCTCAGCTCCGGAAGCCGTCTGAGCACAACACAGGGACTCAGGAAAGCCCCTCGCTGGGTGGCCTTGACGCAATCACACGGCCTCTCTGGGCCCAGCATCTTCTGTAAAACAAGGAGGTGGATGTGCATTCATCTCTTCTTGCTCTGCTGTGGAGTCTGAGGAATTTCCTAGCAGCCTCCCTCTTGATCTCCACGGGCTCTCAAGGTCACGACACTGGCGGTCAGCGGCCCCGGGAGGAAACAGGAACAATAGGAGTCCCTTCCGCCCTCTGTCCTTGGCCAGCAGAGGCATGAAGCTGCTTTTCTGGCAAAGCTGCTGCTTTTCCCACCCTCAGCCCTGCTGCCCATCCTGACCGAGGTTCCCCGCGGCAGAAGGAGTGGCCAGGACCGTCCACCCCCCCGCCTGTGCCCCAGCCCCCGTGCCTGGAACGAGGCTTCTCTCTCAAGACTCAGCTCAAGGCCACCTTCTCCAGGAGCCCTTCCCTGATCTCAGCCCCTGGAAAAGATCGGCCTCATGCATGTCCTGAGTCCCGGCCTCCTTTTGTTCTGCTCTGTGTTAGAATTAGATCCCTCTATACCTTCCCCAGCCTGAGGTTTGCATGGGGCAGGTGCTGTGGCAGGAAGCAAGGGCGACAAAGAAGAAAGAAAAGAAACTGCAGATTTCTGTAGGAAGCTGGGCGGTGCTTCTAGGGCACAATCGGTCCCTGTTTATTGTTTCACGGCCAAGAGAAAACAAACACCTGTGGACGGCACGTGGGCTCCGGCCACTTCCACAGGTCAGGGCCACACAGGAAGGTGTGTGAGCGAGGTCTCCCTGCGTGATTACTGGCAGCACTAGAAAGGTCACTGGAAATGAACCTGCTGCTGCCCTTGGCTGCCCCTGTCTGGAAGGGATGGACAGGGTGTGGGGGTGGTCGGGAGGGCAGGACCCTGACCAGGCAGCTCTGAGGCCCAGTTGGCCATGGGGCTGCCCGAGGTGTCATCTGGAAGGGAGGGGGTTGTCCTGGGTGCTGCCTGGCCTGACTGAGGAGAAGCAGGTTGCCCAGGGGGAGTTTGGGGACAGAGTGGGGAGGGGACAAATTCAGGGAGCTGAGGGCTGGGGGACATGAGGCTGGGGACAGCTGTCATGCAGGCCTGTGTGCTCTTACACAGATTGAGTGGTGACACCACCCTGGGCACTGCCTGTGTTGTGTGTTATCAGTGCCCTA